AACTACACCCACCTACAGCCGAGTATACTCCAGTGTCAAGGAATAGTCCGAGAAGACCGGACAACTCACCAACTGCAAAGGCTGACCATTACCCCGGAACACGATCCACAAATCGATTAACATCCAGGTTCCAAATTACTGCTGGGTAGACAGAGGCAAAAGGCGTTTCACCCTGCCCGAGGATCGAACCCGGGTCCGTTCGCTTGTGATGCGAGGATGCTGACCATGACACCACAGGTCGCCACACACACCTACCTACGTATAACCATCTGCCTCCGATGTGACCCAATTAATGTATTTCCAATTACATAAAATAGACGGGAATTTGGCAGGTGTTGTGACGCTCCAGCTTCCTCACCTCACACCTGCACTGACACCTGTACAACCCAGGAACACACCTGTACTTTCCTCCCTCTCAAGGAAATATATGACGTAACTTCTTTCCCCCTCCTCCCTCACCTCCTCCCTCACCTCCTCCTCCCCCTCCTCCCTCACCTCCTCCTCCTCCTTCATAATGGCACTGCCCTCACAGGTAAACAATAAGAGCATCATCAGGTGCCCAGCCAGGTATGTCGACGCTCATATCGTTAAGGAATAATCAATGGGTCACGGATTTCTTGGACCTCCTCGACCCATGATTGATCCCGGGGAGCAGAGGTGTGGGCGTAGGTGAGGTTGAGGGTACAGAGGTGTGGGCGTAGGTGAGGTTGAGGGTACAGAGGTGTGGGCGTAGGTGAGGTTGAGGGTACAGAGGTGTGGGCGTAGGTGAGGTTGAGGGTACAGAGGTGTGGGCGTAGGTGAGGTTGAGGGTACAGAGGTGTGGGCGTAGGTCAGGTGAGGTGAGGCGTAGGTGAGGTTGAGAGAGGCCGAGGTGTCGAGGAGGTCATAACAGATCACAGCACCTCTCCTACAGGTACCTCATTAACCCTCCCCGCCTCCATCACATTACCCACGGGTCAGTAGTCTTCCTCACGGGACCTTTGTCTTCCTCCTACTCCTCATCTTTCTCCTCCTTTCTTTCTACGTCTCTCCCCACCTTCTATTATTCTCTCTTCCCTTACCTAGTCTTTCTCCCTTCATCTATTCCCTCCCTTTCTCCACTTTCCCCTTTCCCTTCTCCTATCCTCTCTCTCTCTCTCTCTCTGCATCAATCCAAATAAAGAGAGAGACAGAGGAGGAGGAGATTCAAGGTGTCCATTCAACCATGTCTAACACTCATTGTCCATCACCTGTAACCAACACAGCCAGGTGAACAGTTCATTAATGTGATCACCTGAAATCTCTCTCTCTCTCTCTCTCTCTCTCTCTCTCTCTCTCTCTCTCTCTCTCTCTGTCAATCAAACAATTAGTCAAAATATGTATGTATGTATGTATGTATGTATGTATGTATGTATGTATGTATGTATGTATGTATGTATGTATGTATGTATGTATGTATGTATGTATGTATGTCTTATTCTGGACATCTCTAAGCCAGCAACCTCGTACACACACACACACACACACACACACACACACACACACACACACACACTAATACGGTGTACATTCTTCAGTCATTCAATTAAACTGTTTTCATTCCCAGGATTACTATCAACGGTTAAATCTCTTAACTATGGATCACTCACTCCTATACTGGGAAAAAAACACACAAAGCTGAGAAATTGTTAAGGATTATGTTAGTGTTTGTGGCAGCTGGCTCAGGGAGGTGTTTTGTGAGATAAATAACAGAGTCAACCAAGATAAAGAAGTGTGTTGGGAGACCTTGGGGAGAGGAGTTGTGGGTAGGACAATTTCTCACTGACAGAAGTGCTACTTGTGGGCGCTGTTTGTGACCCCCCCACAACAGTACGGTAGCACAACTTTTGTATATTGGTTATCATTCTGAGTCTTTACATCTTTCTTACGTGTACGCATAATCACTCTTTAGCCACGAAGCTTAGTTAAGTAAAGCACCTAACCTAACCTAACCATCTTAAGGTTTTATTGGATAATCTTGGTCGAATCCACCTACTGTTTTATGTCTGTACACCAGAGCCAGTATACACAAAACTTTTAAATGCTAACAAACGGTTGTTAAGGCTGACCTGTTAAGCACTAAATAGTACATACGCAAAACTTTTAAGGACCTTAATAGTTCTATTAAGTTAAAAGACCTCGGGAGCACTTTTAAGTCCTGTAATAGTCGTCTATGAGTTGATATCAAGGCAGCGGCGGCAGCACATTTATCGGGAAACGAGATATGTGGTTAATGAATATAGTGACTAAATTCATCATGCTATACCGACGGGACCGTGCAGGTATCATGGCTAATTTAATGAGGGAAACACTACAAAGTGGAACTGGGAGGATAAGGCATAAGTGCCACAATTTTAGTGGCATTTCTCTTACAAATGCCTCTATTGGGGTAAGGGGGTTATCTCATGACATAATTACCAATATAAGAATGCCACAGAACTGATTTCACAGAAATACCATTGGCCTAGTACAAAAAATAAATGGTGAATTTATAGTATCACACCTGCCCTTATTTCCACCGGAAATTAAAGATACTAATTTTTCAAGATTATTACTTTCACTCAGTCACAAGTGTCGCCATGATTTGTTGGCTTAAGGCGGAGGTCTGACCCCCTGCTCCAGGCCTCCGTCTTCGCTTTTATTTAAGCGACCGGTGTGATACTATAAATTGACCAAATAAATAAATAAACCTCACCTGATTGTGTGTATTGCCTCTTTTTAGCAGAGATCTTCTTTCTTTATTTGGACAATACTGAGAACCAGCGTGCCTCACACTGCCACTGACCTCACCACACCAGGCAAAGCAGCATTGACTCTCATGGTGATTTCCAGCCATGCCCTCTTTTTGTCTTTATTGTTGAGGAAAGGCTTGAAGCGGCCATTCAATATTAACTTTTTCTCGCCAATGGCCTCCACCAATAATAAAGTTTGGTCTGCTATCCAGTTGGGCTTCCTTTTCTTTCGTGGGGTTAAGGCTTCCATTTCCGTAATGTTCAACTTGTCACTCCTGCAATAAGACGTTTGTTTACAAGCAGCACGGTAAGGCCAAGCCAAGACTACACTACACTGTACACGAGAGACAGGAGGCGACAATCCTTACCATTAAAAACGATGTGCGGTCTAAGTCCACGACAGCGCCTCTATTGAGCTGGTGCACCACTATACGGAGCGTCATTTTAAAGGTTGCTACCGTGTCAATTTTCATATGAAATATGCTTACGATATGTTAATATAACCAATTTTGTATTTTCTCCATATATTGTAATACACATAAATTGTATAAATTAGTTGTTCACCTTGCTATGTTATCGTAAATTACTGGAAGAACTGTTTCTCCCTTTAATTTTGATTCGTGTTTGGAACATATTTTTGCACATTTTATGTGTGAATAACATAAATATCTTATTCCATGTATTCATTTAAGTCATCTGAATGCCAACTCATTTTCTATGCTTTAGAATATAAAATATTACAGTGTTTTTTAGGATCATAAGTAACAGTCAGTATTTTGGGGGTGAAGGATATACATATAGTTTTATGGTTTATTTTCCACAAAAATATATAAATATATAAATGTGGAACATAAAATAACGTCTACAGACATATACATATGCAAACATATCTATTTGCAATATTTGATATTTGACATACTGTAGTACATATAATACAAACCTTGGTTAATATCTAGACATGCAGTTTTACAGAGCCTCCCTGCAGTGCACTTGCCTTCGGGAAAATGATGGCTGCATAATCTGGTGTTTTTGCTTATATTTTCTAGGCTCTTTCCTTTAAGTTTCTCAAGCCCAGTACTGGTATCTATTGCAAGCACCTGTAAATAATATTTAAAAATCAGATTCTACTTTGCCTGTAGGGAGTTTTCACATTTTTTTTTTTAAATAATGATAAATAAACCTGTCATATCATATGTATGTTATTCAAAACTGTGCTCCTACCTTTCTTTATCCTTTGGGCATGAATGGTATACAAATTGGCGGCACCGCCAAGGGTTCCCTCAAGGGCCCTCCAAGGGGCGGTGGCGCTCCAAGAGTCCCTCACAGATTCGGCAGCGCCCCTGTGGAGCCTTCTCATGGGCCCGTAGGTACTCTTGAGCATGCTGATTTCGAATATATGTTCCACGATTTAATTGTGGGGTAATTAGTGGTCGTAATGATGTTTGGAATATAATGACGTGTTTCAATGCTAATTACTCGCCAACTATGGATATCCAAAGCGCAATTTTGGTGTTAATGTGTTATTCTGTAAGTACAGTACTTAATTCGTTAAACCCCTTAAATTTCAATTATGAGAGAGTATATTTTGGTCGAAAAATTACAAATGTGTAAGGCTTGCATTTTCTCACGATAAAGAACATAATTCGTCCTTTATTATGTACAGTTATAATTGGTTCATCTAATTTATCATGTTTATTCCTTTGACCAGAGACGAAGTTTCTACCTCGGATACTTCGTCCGGGAATACCAGTAGAAGCCTTTCTCTCACGGCACAACTGATAGCTCACCTCATGTAGGTAGTAGGCAGCTACCAAACAGGGAGGTACTACCGCCTGGGAAGATATTAGAAGCATAATGTGTTGTCTAATGATTGACCCTGCTGCCATATGGCATAAAAAAAAATTGACCAAGTTCCAGGTTACTTCTGACTTTCTGCCTCATTTACACACAATTGCAGGGTTTTTATTTTCACTTTCACAACACAACTTACATGTATCTTTCCTCACTATTGATCTTTTTATGGACCTTTACTATTATTATTATTATTATTATTATTATTATTATTATTATTATTATATTTAATATTTTATTATTATTATATTTATTATAATATTTAATATCTCATAAAAAAATATGGTCAGGGCAGTTTTATTTCAACTCATTTTGCTTGTTTCATAATAGTCACTATCAGTAATATTGTTAACAGTGTCACTATGAGTACAGTGGTACTAAGGCTGTGTTTGGTTACAGGAGCAGTGTGATGGTGAGGGGTTGGCCATGCGTCGTGGTGTCATGCGTCTTGCTGTGTTGCTGGTGCGTCCTCTCCGCCGCCCTCCCTACCCATCTCCCAGGTCTGTCACCATCACCAACACCACCACCATTATCCTTCACTATTAATGTGACAAAACCACCATCTTGACCACCAAAAACATTCTACCATTACTACCAGAGCCATCTCTACCATATTCATTATCTCTCTTAATTAATGACACTATTTTCACTATCAATACAACATTTTCACTACAAGGACCATCTTCACCATCATCTACAGCTCAACGAACACTGTCACAACCACCACTGTACTCTCACCATTACCTCTCACTAACACTGCCAACACCACCACCACTAACATTAACACTACCAACACCACCACCACCAGCACTGTACTCTCAGTTAATGTGTGTGTGTGTGTGTGTGTGCAACCACATACAAACATTTGGTAGACAGGTTCTCCGACACACACAGGCTTGTAAACATTCCAGTTGATCATAACTTTCATCCCAACTGCTAAGAACTCCGTATTGCATCTCGTTGAGGCTTCTGTCAATTGTCATGCCATTCATATGAACGTGTTTTCGATCTTACATAATTCACAAGATTATGTAAACGTCACTCTAACTCTCCTCCTCCACTACCGGAACTAAATGAGAATCAGTTTACATGTGTTTCAAATCCCATTATATTGTCTCAGGGTCTTGTAAAAACATGTCTACCTGCCTGTTAATATTTTTGGTACAGTTTGCTGTTCTCATGAAATTCACAAGCTAAAGTTATCCCTTGGTCCACAGATGAGCTCGATGACCCGGTGGTGAAGCGGCTTGCAGGTACACCCCACGAGTCCATGATCAGATACTTCCTGATGGCCATGTCCAATCCTGCAGGCCGTTACAAGTCTCCACAGCTCCTCAACCGCGGCGTCAGGAGGATTGGGTCTGAATTCCTCGGCAAGAGATCTGTTGGAAAGCTCTCGGACGCCGACAATCCACGAGACTTCGAGAGCGAAAACTGTAGCGACGATGATGGGACCGAAGAGGAGGACCTGAAGAAGGAACAGTTCAGCTTTACTGGCCAATATGATTATGATGAAAGTGCTGGAGAAAATTTTGGAAGTCAAGAGGATTTATTTAACACAAAACCCAAGAGAAATATCCGAAGTTTCCATGGGGGCGTCAACAACGATGGCTTGAAAAACTTCTTCTCTATGCTTATGTCAAAGAAAATGGGATCTGAGTTCTTAGGAAAGAGAATGGGTTCAGAATTTTTAGGAAAAAGGGCCATGGGTTCAGAATTTTTAGGAAAAAGGGCCATGGGTTCAGAATTTCTTGGAAAAAGAGCACTGGGGTCAGAATTTTTAGGGAAAAGGGTTATGGGGTCAGAATTTTTAGGTAAAAGAGCTATGGGTTCAGAATTCCTTGGCAAAAGGGCTATGGGATCAGAATTTCTAGGAAAGAGAGCAATGGGATCAGAATTTCTAGGAAAGAGAGCGATGGGATCGGAATTTTTAGGGAAGAGAGCGATGGGATCGGAATTTTTAGGGAAGAGAGCGATGGGATCGGAATTTTTAGGGAAGAGAGCGATGGGATCGGAATTTTTAGGGAAGAGAGCGATGGGATCAGAATTTTTAGGGAAGAGAGCGATGGGATCGGAATTTTTAGGGAAGAGAGCGATGGGATCGGAATTTTTAGGGAAGAGAGCGATGGGATCGGAATTTTTAGGGAAGAGAGCGATGGGATCGGAATTTTTAGGGAAGAGAGCGATGGGATCGGAATTTTTAGGGAAGAGAGCGATGGGATCGGAATTTTTAGGGAAGAGAGCGATGGGATCGGAATTTTTGGGAAAGCGACAATATGAACCTGAATTTGCCCATACGCTAGACTACGACACAAAACGAGCGGTAGGTTCGGAGTTCCTTGGTTGAAGGATTTTAATTTCAAGTGATACGAGGTGTCTTTTGAAGACCTAGGAAGCGGTTCCGGTCCATCTGTAGGGGAACAATTCTGACCTCTGTTCACTGTAAATTATTGGGCTATCTTATGTCAAGGTATCGTCACGGCTAGGGTAGCTTATTACTACAGTAGTTCCCTTATACAAATGATCCCTGTGTTACGTAGCTCACTCGGCATACGGAGGAGGGATGGCGAGTGATACCTTCCTAACACTGGGAAAAAATATAAATCTGTAGCACTTATCCCTAACCAAAATTATAATAAACCAATGTATATTTTTTATTAAAATCTTAAGCTTCCTGTAATAGTATTAGAATGTAAATGTTTAAAATATATTAATTTTCATTTTTTAAATGGATTATTTACCGCCAGATCTCCCATACTACTGTCCCTTGTTCTTCATCTTCATCTTCGAAATACTGCCATAATATTTTGAATTTATTCTTAAACATTTCAAACACTTTTCTTTATAAAATGAAAAACATCAATTTCAAAATATTAACTATTAATGAAGCGAAAGAAAGTCCCTAGATAACAAAATCGTAAGAGGGAAGTTTCACATTCACAATCACGTTGGAAACTAGACCAGCAGCTTCATGTTAAAAATGTAACACTTTGAATAACAGCCAATTGATGGTGGAAATGTAAAATACAGTGAGTCTCAGCCACACTCCCTCATGTTGGTTTGTGACTGGCTGGATAGGGATGCCCAGAGAGGTCAACTGTTTTGATTCTAAGTGGCCATCAGTTGTTAATGAGGAGGATGGTAGAAGGGGCTGAGCAGCTCCTGGCTCTTGTTGAGCACTAAGGCGAGTGGTGGCAGTTTTCTGCTCTCTTTAAATTAAAATCTAATTTCCTCCCGCCACAACCTTTCCAAAATTATTTTAGCGTCCTTCCACTTACAACAAAAATACAGAAATGTTACAAAACTTCTTTGTTTGTCAACGAACTGATTTTATGAGACGCACTCACCATTTATCATCTATATACACTGAACATAGTAAAAAAAATCACTTCTAGGTAACGGGATTCATACCTGAACCACCAATGTCTGCAGTAAGGCATCTCTCCACAAGACCACAATGGGCAAAAAGCTACCCATCCTTAGCTACTCACCTGTAGCTCAAGGTCCCATGCCCACATAATATTGTGGTTCTGATGGGCTGCCCACACACAGGTCCCAGAGAGCATTTAATCAAAATTCCAGCTCAACGGTCTTGTCATTATATCAGAACCTATAATTCACACAAGTAAATCAATGTAAACAATTTTCACCTCTGGGTGCTGGGATTCGTGGCAGTCAGGCAGCTATCCACTGGACCACAATGGGTTTGGTAGTTCAGGTTCGAGTCCCGGCACCCAGAGATGAAAATTGTTTACATTGATTTACTGTACGTACTTGTGTAAATTATAGTTTCTGACATAATGATACACTGAACACTGTTTCCCCCAAAAATTATGAGCCTCACAACCACTGACAAGTAAACCCATTGTTCATCCCAATTTAACATTTGCTTATCTTGTTGATCATATGAAACCTTTAAGAGAATAAAGATACATTTTTATTATATTTTTTATATAAGCATATGATCTGGCATGATGTAGGTGTCATTTGTCACTGATAATAAACAAGTACAAGATACCATTATAATACAGCATTTAGGTGATGTAATCAGCCAATCATAGCCATGTTTTAGTTATCATGATAGCCAATCACAAGCCCACAAGAGAGAAAGTGTGCATGGCTTATATTACATTTCCAAAATGAAGAGTACAGTACAGTACAGTACAGTTGTCACTTAACTATTCATCTTCATCTTTTTCTAGCAATAACAAAACATATCATTTAATTTTTAACTCTACTTAAACATAGTAAAGACATCTATTTGTTAATAATGTTGGATTATTATAGTTGATATTTAACGCATTTTAAATTAAATTTCATTCTCACTAGTTTACAGGGTTGTTGGTAATCTTTGCCTGTAACTCAAGCTATTATTTATGCAATAACATCAAATATACAAGAGGACAAACAATTAACACCTTCATTAATCAAACAACACTTTAAATTAAAACCATAAATTACAGGCAACACCATAATCAACGACTAGCTTGAAAGAACTATTGTGAATCATCTGTTAAGCGCAAGTCCTAAAGGAAAAATCACCAAATTCCTTTTATTATCTGTTTCAGAACATTAGGTTAATGTTCTACCAAAGTGAGGTGTGTCCGTCGGCCAATCACAACCCATTGTGACAAAACTACTTTTCATGTGACAAAATTATCATGCATGAGCTTTGATAATGATCCTACAGCAATCAGCAAAGGTGCATTATACGGTTGGTAATTATTACAAAGCATCGGTGAACACGATACATCAAACAGCAAGTGAAGCATTAGGAGATAGAGGCTCGGACTTCAGGTTCCTTATGGTATACTGTATTCAACATGTCGGCCACTATCCAACGGTGTTTTACAGATGCAGATGCTACTCCTCATCTTAAATGTCCCTTTGGGTGTACAGTACTGTATTTCACTATGTTACAGTCGACCATCTTACAGCTCCTTAAGGTCCTCTCTAGTCTTGTATTATTACAAAATATATTACAAGATCCTTCAACTCAACCTATGATCTTACTGTTCCAAAAGTGTAGTCCACAATCTTAAAAGTGTCTTGATATATAGGTATTCATGATCTTTAAGGTGTATTCTATGACTTTACTGTTCCCAAAGGTACAGTCTTCTATCACTCTGTCAATAATAGTTAATTCACCATCTCACAGGTCCTAAAAGGTATATACTAGATCTCACAATTCCTTAATGTGTATTTTACGATCCTACACTTCGATACGTTACAATCATCTCCCAATGACTGTGTAGAAAGCTGGTGAATTGTTAACGAGTTATAATAGCCTGTGACTGACTGGTAGTTTGCAGACATAGAGTGGAGGACCAAACCTGTATATATATAACACACATCAAACAATAAAATTTCAAACACTTTGTCTACAAGCTTTAAATTTTCTAATCCTTACAAGTGAATGTTGATTAGAGCCCATATATACTATATATATATACTGTACTGCATATATATATATATATATATATATATATATATATATATATATATATATATATATATATATATATATATATATATATATATATATATATATATATATATATATATATATATATATATATATATATATATATATATATATATATATATATATATATATATATATATATATATATATATATATATATATATATATATATATATATATATATATATATATATATATATATATGTAGGGAATTTTTATGAAATGCATTAAGCATCACAATCAAAATTTTTTCATAGTTATGCAATAGTCATAAGTAAGCATGTACTCACTCATTGTTGTGGTTGAAGGGCTGTGGTTTTATTCTTGAAGATCCCCAGTTTTATAGATGCGGTCCGTCATAAGCTCATGTGTGGAGATGTAACTTCGAATTTGTGTGAAGTTGAATTTTCAAAGGTTCTCTTGGCATGGAGCATTCCAATTAATGTGACTGTATTTAAAGAATTTCTCACTTTTGTTTTCATTTAATTGATTTGCAAAAACACCCTTTCAACACTGGCATTAGAATGTGGCAAGCATAACAGTTTTCTCGTGAAATTTCCCAGCAACGGAAACAAAGGTGCATCATCACCTTTCTTTAAACTGTTAACTTTCAGCCAAAACTTCCAAACACTAATGTTGCCCTGGACATTCAGTCGTGTGTTTCGCAGTAAGCGCCACTCACTGCCAATGATGTTTACGTCACTCTCGGGCACGAGGTTTGAAAAGTGAGTTACTAATGGGGCAGTGGAGGGGACACTTCATCAAAATACTTTGGGGATCCAATACTTTGAGTGTTGCAAATAATAGATCAGTAAGGTTAAATCTTTGCAGAATCTGTGATACACCCTCGATATAAATATCCAGACATCTTAATCTGAAGTTATCCAGCAGCTGCTTGTCGATGACATGACTTGTCTGGAGTGACATAGTTACCCGACCACCGAGATACATATCTTCTAATGGTAGAAAATTGGCTGGGTCCTAAATCTTTACATTTGCTAATGCCGTTGACTTTATATAGCTTCGCTTCAAGTAACACTCAAGTATGGTAGCCAGGACTGCAGAAACTCTGTTGTAGAGGGCATAATCTTTGGACATGTCGGACAGGGTCTTTCTCTCTTTCTATCTCTCCATTTTTTTTAAGTATCTGGCTGAAATACTGTAGGTTTTGCAATGGCAGGTAAAATTACCCTATAATTGTGTGTTTTTTCCCATTTTATCCCTGCAAGCCATGGAATTACTCTAAAAGAAACAGGGTAATTACCCTGTACCTGGCAGCACTCCCCGCCACCTCTCACATCAGCTTATCGCTAGTAAACAGACCATTTCGCATCCCTTAATTTTAGCTGTGCTGATTTATGGTATTTATGGATTTATGAGTGTTTGCTTATTATCTCTCATATGAATGAACAGAGCAATGGATTCCTGGCCTGTCCTAACACTATATTTATGCTGTTTAAGTCTAGTTATAAGATCTTTACCCGTCTGGCCTAAGTAGAACATATTACATTCCTTGCAAGGAACCTTGTAAATGCAGCTGCCTGCATTGTTTGGGGGAGTTCTTAATTTACATTGCATTGACTGGGATAATGCCTCCTCAATATTACCTTGTAATTCAATTGTCAGTAGGAACATTATAGAATCCAGTCTCATTAAACATACTGAATCTGTCAACATGAATTTGAGTAATGGTATGTACAAACTGGATAATTTTGTGATTAAGAAGATTTGTAAACAGGTGAGGTTGGGTCATCTTACCCTATGACCTGACTACGGACAGCTGCTGTGCTTAAGAGATGGCATGGTAAATTTTTTGATTAAGAAGATCAGTAAGGGTCACTGCCTTATGACCGGAACATTGTGGACCCCTGCTGTCCCCTAGAGACTTGATCTCACTCTCCTCTACTGTATATATTAGCCTTGTCAAGTATTACTCCTTAGTCTGTACTCACCCCTGAAGATGTGAATTACACGAAAGCGCTTGGGAACTTGGTGTTTTCTTTTTTCCTTGTGGTTATCATATTATATACAGTATATATACTGCATATATTGTTTACAATGTTTATGTTACCCTACTAGTGCTCACATGCTGACGTTTCATCACATTCTCAAAATACTCATCAGTGATGGGCAACCTGGACCAGTGAAGGGACTGCACGAGTTGCCTTACTTCATCCCAGTGGTGTAGACACTACCCTGGCGGTGTACACACGATCAAAAAGTGTATGTGCACATTGGAACAAGTGATAAACATACTGATTTAGCAAGAGATGCTGGTTGGGTTGGTTCAGTAAGAGTGAGACCCAAGTGTAAGGGTGGTTCAGGTGTGTATAAGTGGGGTCACATAGTCTGAGACCCTACAGTATAGACTGCCCATTTGGTGTCCAAGTGTGTTTGTGTATAAGACTTGTTTCTACAAGCTGTACTGTAATGAATTAAAGCTTGAATAAAATAAATATTTGGTGGCTAATACACTTCACACAGAGGTATAATTATCAACTGATGAAAGCCATTTTTTATTTTTCTTGATGAAGACAATGAGATGCTGTCAGGTAAACATTTATAAATGTCTTCGGCACAATCTGAAGTACGTATATGAAATATCTTTAGGAATATTTTAAAGGAAATATGATTTCATTCTTAAGGGAAATAAGGAAAAGTAAGGTCAGTTCACACTAACAATGCAAACATATAATTTAAACTTTACCAGATCTTACTCTTTTATAATTGTGTGTACAGTACAGTAAACCCTCAATCTACACAGGGGTTAGGTAGGGTCCTGGAACACACCGTACAAAGTGAAACCCCATAAAAAAATACTTTGGGCTTTTGGGAAATAGGGGTTAGAGGTTTAGATTCCCATGATTGACTACAGGAAAGGTAGAACTTATAAGCTGGACAGTATATATGTGACCCACTATGGATAAATGTCCCCATTACAACAATTCTCTTCTAAAGGCAACTTTCTTCGTGATTTCATCACATTCTAACAAGAAATAACCAATCTTCACTGTCCACATTGTAGACTCATTTTAGCCCTACTTTTTAATCTTCTTCCTCTAAGATAATGGTGGACAAGGATATCAGGTTATAATAAAGTGTGAAGCATATGATGGTTACAGGTCAATAGTCTATAATAGAACTGAAGTGTGTGGCGTGGTGTGTAGGTGGGGAGTTAACGTTGGTTGGTGCCAGGGAAGGACATTTAGTAGGAAAAAACATTCCAGGTCCATTTGGTCACCATGCTGAACTACAGTATATCTAAGTGAGTTGATACAGTGCATAAAAAATGGTAACAATTAACTGATTGTGTATAATTGACGCTGTGCTATTGAAGGGTTTATTGTACTTGTGGTACTTGAATGAGCTACCTAGTCGTCTGCCATCCACTGAGCGAATATGAGATTTACGGCAGCTTGTACATCTCCATTTGTAGCTTGTAAGGCTTGCCGACTAAGGTCTTCATCTGGGATACCCATCTCCCTCATCAGCTGCAGAGACTCCTCAAGATTTGGGATCTGAATGCTGGCAGATGGAGGGCCTGATGACGAGGAGGAGGAAGAAGGACCTGAAGCCTAAATAAATTATTTTGAATTAATAAAAGAAAACATCATAATACTGTATAGTACAGTATATGATAGAAAAGTATCTTAATACTGTACCTAGTGGGTGTTTGTTTTCAATAATAATAATGATAATTCATATAATATAAATATATTTTTAATACAAATGTGCAGGAGGGATAATACTGAGAAAACATTATATAGACTAAAGTGTTGATGATGTCTTCTTTAATACTAAATCTTTATTTGATATATTTTATTATTTCATGATTATTATTGGTAATTATTGTTTGAAAGTAATAAAACTGGTCGAAATGGATCAGGGTGTGGTAGTGAACAGTATAGGATGTGGAATAGATTCTAATTATGGAGGTGTTAGCAAGAAAGACAAGAAAAAAAAGCTAGTTATATACTGTACTGTATGTCTATTATCAAACAAGGCATAACATAATTATTACAACACTAAAAGATATTGTAGACACATCAGTGAAACAGTGTGTGTGTAAATGAGAATGTGTACATACATAAATGTTTAGATGTCAGTATGTGCATACTGAAATTATGGAGGCAATAATCTATACACTGCACCATGTGTGCATTTAGTATAAGTAAAAAAGTTACCATTAGTGTTTAAAGATAAGGGAAAACTACTTCAAGATTTACTAACCCGACTTGCAGATGCAGCCAATGCATTCTGTAAGGCATTACTGAACATTTCATGGGTGATGGGACCTGGGGCTGCAGGAGCACCAGCTGAGGGTGCTGGAGTATTGAAGGGGGTGGTGGTTGCTGCTGAGGGTGTAGTAGGAATACTGCGAGGGGCACTGGTAGGAAGTCTATTGGTGCTGCCATTGTTGCTGTTACCTATTAAGGACTAATTTATTTTATCTTATCATTTACTTCTCCTAATTTTGTAATAAGAGGATCAAGGTGTACAGAAACCCTGAAGTAAATGAGGAAATCGTAGGGGGAAACAGTGCAAGACAAGTGTAGAAAGAAAACAGAATTACTGTAAGGCAACAAGATGAAAACTTGTTCAAATCCTTTATGTATGCAGCTGGTCTTGTAAGTAAACAAACCAGGGGCAAACTAGTTCTGAGACAGCCACTCTCAATGATGATCAGTTAGGAAATTAAATCTAAAATGGAGGATTGGTCTGCAACAAAATATGACAGGAGCCATAACTTTGGCATGTACTAACTCGTCAGTCACAGCTCCAAACAGAGGACTCTTGCAACACCTGACCTTCCTATTTTGGGTGTTATGGTAAGTGAAAGGTCATTGGTTTACCAAATATGAGCTAAAATAACTGGCTGACATTACAGGAAGTTGCCGGATAACAAGGAACCCCAATAAACACCTGTATTATAACAATCACTTGGTTAATAGTACTTAATTCAGGAAGTATATTGTCTAATTAGAAGAGAATTAAGCTAATTTATTATGTACAAGTAAAATAATTAAAGAACACATTGCTTAAACACAATTATTGCTGGTAATTAATTTGTTGAAAGTAAAATGGAGGCTTACCACCTCCACCCTATTCCATGAATTAACTTTTCTCCGAACAGTACTCTCAGACACTTGGCTTATCATAGGAAAGGTTTACGAGTCTTTAATAAAGTTCTACGAAGACTTCTACCAGCTGTTCATTGAAGTGCTGAGGTACTTGGACAAAACATATAAGTAAAAACACAGGATCTTGAATCTTGTTGGAGGTGTTCTTCCTCTGGGTGTGTATAAAGCTCTGGCTGTGTTCCAAGCCTCAGGTCTGCATTATGACAATATTACTTCTTATTAATTTCTAAATACAGGAGGCCCCCAAGTTCGCAGATTTTTTGTTTCACTGGGTTTTTGGGTACCAGCAAGGTAGAAAAGTTCACTTACTTTGAGGTCTCCTGGATGATGATGTGAGTTTAGAATAGAAGGAAGAAAAGAAGGCATTGGGGTGGAAGAGAAGTCACGGCACCATTTTCTCTTGCAAGATTATTTTCTTTAAATCAACACTGCACTGCATTATATATTGGAAAGACCAATAATTTGCTTGAGCTCATGTTACCTCCATTAACTAGATGACAGAAACTAGTTTCTTTATTCAATTATGTTCCTTTAATATTAAACCTGTATTGAAAATTTGTGTGTGTGTAGACACACACACACAAAACACATACAAATAAATAATAATTTAAAAATACTCTCACAAACAATCAGAAACAAATTTATTAAAAATGTGAGTCTACCCTCAAATCCGTTCTCTATTACAGTACTTTATTAATAGATCATGGATGGAGGGTAGACGGTCACTTTTTTTAATAAATCTGTTTGAGGATTTTCCAATTATTATTTATTTGTATGTGTGTGTGTGGGTGTGTGTCCACACAAACACACATATATACAATACTACAGGTAAAAGAAATAATTGTCCTTAGGGCAAACACATAAAGGGAATAAATATTTCTTTGTACACAAGTAAAAATACCCTCCCCCCCCCTCCTTAAATGTTATTCGCGGATTTGGCGATTCACGGCCATTTTGAGAACCTAACCCCCGTGAAATTGGAGGGCCCTTTGTACAATGGTAATTGATTATTAGTTTATTTATATAAACTAATTTACTAGATTTAAAGTATATGACGAAAATAGTCAACTCGTCTCAACTCTGTGAAACATCTGATGGCCACTTACGTACATCAGACTAATTATTTATAATAGTAAAAAATCCTCACCAGCTACTTATATTTTTATACATGTGAATCATGGATTATATGAATTATTGTAAAAAATTCATGATTTACTCCTGACAACAACCCTATTTAGCATTAAATTCACACAAACTCACTACTCAAATACCCGCAGCTGCTTCAGGGTTCTGCTGGGCAAGTTGCTACAGGGTTTTATTTACAATTTAAGAATATTATGTGGAATTATACAAAATAATTTCCACCAAAACACTGCTCGGGACACTTACCAGTGGCACTGGCGAGGGCTGCAGCAAGTTGGGCTGGTGTAATTGGCTGAAAAGGTATTGAGCCACTCGCCCGGCTCCCACTAGTTGAGTCTTCCGACTGTAGTACAAACATGAGATTAAGCGAATACCTACAATTCACAGTAAATTATACGGTACATAGAAATAAAATGCCAGCAATGAATTTGGCAGCGACTATGATAGATAAAATCCTAAAGGTAAAAATATTAAAGACTATTTTCTATTTAATTTACCGTTAATTTCAGTGACCACCAAAAAAAATCATTATGTACCTGAGTCAAAAGTTAATTACAGTTGGTTTTATAATCAAATATTATCACAGTAAATAATTTGTTGAAATGAGAACCTGAGTAAAATCTAAGGACGGATGTTTTCCTGAAGCAACTGAATCAATTTAGTCCTTGGATTGACTTCGTCAAGAGGGATATGGTTACAAGTACGTACAGTACAGTACTGGGTCATATATCAACAATAGTGGCTAGGATTGTTGATCAGCAGTTAATGTGCTTGTGGAGTACACCTGGGAAAGTATATGACTGGTTGGTAACAGTCAGAAAATTAACAATATAGCTAATACAGGTATCCCTTGATATATGAACGTTTGAGATGCTAATACAGTATTCACTTACAAGAGTCACTTAAATTAAGACCACTATTTTGAGAAATAAAAGCTTCCCTCGCTTATACAAATTTAGGTCTTGGCAAAAATTAACATTTTGTGCACTGGGAGTCGGCTGGCGCTGTGGCCATCTTGGGGAAAGATGCACGGATACGTATTTTCGCTCACTGATCATACCTGCATCTCCCACAAGCCTATGCCTTTCCCTCCACCATTTGTTGTGAGTGAAATGATCACTCTATCTGTGTGTATCCTTTCATTAGAACTTTCATAATAGCATCCAAGTGTTGTGCTGAATCTCTGGCTACCTGTACCAAACTGAAGAAACCACAAAAGGCTGTTACTCTTGAGACAAGGATGGAAGTAATAAAGTGTCAGGAACGCGGCGACAGCTGTACGTAGATTGGGAAAGATCTTGGTCCGGCTGCTTATACTGTCACCAAAATTTATAAGCATGCTGACAAGATCAAGAAAGTCCCCTCTACCTCTACCAGAGGATTTTCTTCCACTCCTTCCGCCTCTGGTGTGACTGTGGTGTCCTTGGCAGCCAGCAGTGATGAGGTGGATAACCCTCCTCATCTGAGGAAGGGCCTTCCCTTGCTCAGCTCACCCCCTTGTGATGGTGAGCCCAGACTGCCCTCCCATAAGGTTATATACCAAAGTTAAACAATATTTAATTAATTTTTTCATATGTTAGGTAGTAAATGAGGGGAATTGTGTACTGTACTTCCATTTTAACCTCTAAAAAAATAGATTTCAAAGCAGTACTTTCTGTCATTTTATGCTTGCTTTACACTCATAGATGTATGGGGTGCCACTGGTAAATCATGAGAGAACAGCAAAGTTTTGGGAGACAATGTAACAAGCTTGTGAGGTAAAAGATGGTCAGGCTAGAAATGAGATGTAGAGATGTGAAGAAACTCTGTCGAGAACACATCCTAAAAAATTCATCTGTAGATCACGTCAAACCAGAAATGATTTTGTTTCCTAATTGGTTAATGGAGAAAAATATAATAAAAAAATCATGTTGAGCTAATAGATGTTAACTAAGGAATACCTGTAATGTAATGGTTTAGTGTAAAGGGGAAAAAATCCTGAAAGGTATACTGTTTCCTAGTACTGTATATACATCACACCTGGTCTGCATCCATTTCATCATCATCAGAAAGAGCGTCCATGGAGTACGAGACGTGGTGAGAGCGACGAGGGGACATGGTTTCGCTGGTCATTAAAGATGCCACATACTGGGCAACTCTTCCAACAGCCGGCTGAGCATCAACTATTCTGCAACAAATAATTTTTTTTACACTAAATCACTCTGCCTATGAGAAAGGTATTCATTTATATTCTCATACTTTACCACATAATGTCTGATTGTCCTTTGGCCTTCAGCTGTGTCCTGGTGTTTGACAGACAATAATAATAATAATAATAATAATAATAATAATAATAATAATAATAATAATAATAATAATATTTCAGTAAAGTTGTCATACAGATTTATTATTGTATAAGCATGTTTATAAACTACTATGCAGTTATACATTTCATCATGAATAAAGACAATGTATGTACCATATTTTACGGCATTTAAGACACTCTTCATTTTCAGCGGGGAATATTTATAAGAAAAAACCTTGGTGTATTTTCCTCTTGTAGCCTCAGTTTTCATAAAATAATATATGCAGTGCACTGTCCCCTTGCTAATGCAGGGGTTGCATTCCCTGAGAATGCCGTGTAGAGCTACTTGTGCCATGGCCACTCCCTAAGCATGATTACAGGGGGACAACTTCTTATTAACAAACCACCACCAAATGCTATATTCCTCTTGCTTGTACCAGGTGAATAAAAAAAGGTAAATAAACCAAATCATAATGTACAGTACAGGCATCTCAAAAAAGTATCTGTCCGCACTTTGTGTGAAAGATTATGAGACCACGGATGATAGATGTTGGGATATGTGCATTCCTGCTCTGTACAATTTAACATATGTAATGCAAGGAGTATTTTTTTGGCATAATTAATATGATATTCAGTTACAAAATGTAGTAGAATCGGTATACTACAGACCCACCCATACCAGTCCTCCCGGGACATCACGAATTGCATGTAGCATTTGGGAAGTCATCGGACCCATCCTGGCAGATACTTTTTGGAGATACATACTACTGTACATTAAGTGGACAATAGTTGCGACTTACGTGCTAAGATTCTCTGGATTGGTGAGGTCCATGAAGAGTTCTGGATCTTGCAGCATGGCAAGAGCTGCAGGTTCACTACGAGCAATGGGGCAAGACGATAATATTTTCTCTACCATTTCAGGACCTCGTAGTTTCTGAAAACAGATCACCCATCATAAGTTAAGTTTTCTTTCTGTCTATACAGGCACAGCACAGCAGTCCCTACTTGACACGAGTTCACACAATGTAAAATTTGCTTTAGCACGAGGAACCAAATTAGGGAAACTGTTTACTCGGCATAAAAACTTTCCCCGTTTAACACGAGCCACAACACGTCAAGACTCTGGCACACCTCAGATGGCTTGCTGCCTCCCTGGGCAACACACACCACTGGCTATTCACCTTTTAACCTTCACCAACATAAATGATAAGTGACTAATAAGTAACAAGAGTGATGATGAGAGGAAGAGACAATGAAAATCTGTTTTGGTACAAGTGAAAGTGATTGTACCTCTCGAAAAGGGAGAGTACACACCTGATATTAACAGGTGCAGTGGCCCTTCATGAGGCAAACATACATACCATGTGTGTTTATACCTGGATAAAATCACGGAAATTGGGGCTAGCTGCAACATTCCTCAAGGATACCAGGAGTGTCTGTACCTCTGGGAGACTCAGTGGCACTGCTATTGGAGGTTGATCCTCTGTAACATAGTAATAATTTATTTCATTTATGCTAACAGTTTACGTTCGCAGACATGTATCGTGTACAGTATTCAATAGCCGAGTTACAACAACCACTCCTCCGTCCCTCAGTGAGGTACCAACTGACCTACCTGATTTAGGTAGACAGTGGATCAGGTCACCAGATGCTACTCCTGCATCCTTGAGTGTGTCAGAGGCTTTGAGAACCACACCCTGGTGAATTAATTCTGTAATAATAAAATGTAAATTAGTTTTCAAGTTATATACAGTATACTCCTCAGCTTTGGGGAGCAAATACTTCACAAGGAAATTGTTGTAATTCTCAAGTGACAAGTATCAAATACCAACATCTATACCTACACTATATTACTGACTTCCATAATATACTTTGAGATACATTCTTAAAATAAATAAATTGTGACTTGGGTTCTTCCTTCATAAATCATAAGCATTGGCATGTTTTTTAATAACCTCAAATTACTAAACTTGTAATTCCTCCACTTGTTTTGAGATATTCTTGAGGTAAGAAAGGAGTTTTCCTAAAATTACAGCTTAACCAAGACTTGTGTTTCAATCCTGTACAGTATAGGAGCAATATGTAAATAGCAGGACTTCATGTTTACCTTCAGAGACACTTAGAATAACAAAAACAATTCAATAAAAATACAGGCAGAGTTATATTTGGGTTATTTGTACCAGTGATGAACTAAGCACAGTATTTAATGGTAATATTGTACAGTACTGTTCTGGAACACTGACTCATAAGATAATGCAGCTTTAGGAAAATTGTGGTCAAGGCAATCAATAGTTTAGACAATTCTAAGAACCTTTCTTTTTATGGTGTTTCCCTCACAAATGACCTCACCAAGCTTCCACACCAGGGGGCTCTATGCATAATCATTACAGAATATTTACCCCTAACCAAAATAACTTGGTAAAATTTATCATAAAAAATTATAAAAACACCAGATTTTCACTGTTACATTATAGTGGACACTATTGTACTTTGTGGAAATATATTAAAAATTTGATATTTCAAAAATAAACGTTACTTAACATTTGTGGGTATGAAAAACAGACCTAACCAACCTAACCAAACAAACCTACCATACATTACATAACTTCCTTACCGGGGGCTTCTGCCCTCCAGTATATTAAACAGAAAGAGCTTACTATGATATGGTGAAATTTTAGGCAATTTCTGGACGTGAGATGATATAGCCGCATTAGCGCTATGCAGGCCCGTCCTTTAGGGGGGGCAAACAGGGGCGACCGCCCAGAGCCCCACGCGTGTCGGGGGGCCCCGCGGGGCCCAGCACTAGACCCAGTGACCTCGAACATATTACCTGTTGACTGGTTAATCTGACCCGACGGCTTACGCCACCATCGCAGCCGTGACCTTACCATCCATAGCGACAGTCCCCTTGGGGTTGGTGGAGGTGGGTTCCTCTGACCGCATAATCTGGGGCCCCGCAGTGGCTGAGTTGCCCCGGGCCCCGCACCCTCCTAGGGACGGCCCTGGCACTATGCACCCCGGGCGGCGGAGTGATTTACTGTGTTGGCGGGTTCCACAATAAATGATTATCATATGAGAACTCACTGATCAAAATAATGTAAGAAAATAAACAGTCTCTATGTAAAGGAACAATGCCGTGATCTTTAAACAATTGAAGGGTCTCATTGTCTTTACCCCTAAATTCACATACTACGTCCAAGTAAGATCAGCGACAACCTTAACACGACATGCTGAAAAACAAACTGTCCCGGGTGCAGGAAAAGCCCCTCATAAGACCGCGGCCACATTACCGCCCGTAAGATAAGCTAGTGTGCCTAGGGGCCTAATTATCTATGAAACCAACAATTTCCACAATAAATAATTATCATATCGGAAATTACTGATGAAAATATTGTAAGAAAATAAACAATAATAAAAAGAACTCGCTCGCCGGTTAGTCGCATCTATTAACCTTAATGGAATAAAAGAGAGAAAGATTTGGCATAACTCCTTCATTATGTTCCCACAGTAATGTAATACAAGAAAATTATCTTCAAATTAAACATCTTTTTTGAATGTGATTAAAGATTTGGGGAAGGAAGGTTGTGTGAACTACTATAAAAATACCCAATTATCAAACAGTATACAGTAGTACATTATGATATTACTGCGAGTATAACACAAAAAGTCAAGTTTTATACTTTTATTTTCTTCGCCACTGTTGGCAAGTACTGGGCAGTCACTGGCTCCTGAACCTGCTCCAGTGTTGGTCAAGTCTGGTCTTGAGACAGCTCACACTCGGTGCCGTCACAACACTCTCTGGTAGGTTGTTCCAACAGTTCACAACTCTCACTCAGTAAAAGTTTGCCCCTCACAGTTTTCTGGACTTGCAACTTCTTCAATATTGAGCTGTGACCCCTTGTGGGGCGGACACTCGACCGAGTAGTGCCCCTGACAGGTTTACACACCTCCATTAGGTCACCTTCCCCGCCTGTAGTATGAGCTAGGCAGTTGACGACGCTCTAACCTTAATATGGAATACTTACGTATCTTGTCAGGTGTCGTCTTGCTCTCAGTAGCTGCTTTTTGTATAATAGTATCCACTGTATCACTTAAATTAACATGTCGTAGAGTATAGATGTGTAGTTTGGGGACGTTAGTGCGGAGACTCAGGTGTAACGTTGCCATCTTTGTTTATGACTGGCAGCAGCAACGTGAGCATTATGTTGCCTTAAGTACCGCGAACACCACAAGGGCTCTTTAACTTCATCAACCCGAAAATACTCTGTAATCGATATACCAAATATATCCTTTCCAAAAAAGGGAAGAACATATCAATAACAAGATAGAAGGATAGATAGGTGTAATCATTAAATATTTAATTTATTGTTTAAACACACTGGGTGTTGGTGGTAACACGCGTCTCTCACTAACATGTCAGGCCCGGACACACGGGAGGAGGGGGTTTATCTAGTATGACTCTACCAAACATCACAGGTTTCCCGGTTTCCGCCTGTACTAACGGCTAGTGAGCTAATAAGCGGCGAAAATTCTACAAAAAAATAAAATACCCATAATAATAAAAATTGCCTTTTTTTCCCAGGGAATTTTACAAAAAATTATTTGGGACTATATGAGCACATTTCTTTGGCTTATAAAACTTCGCCACTGGTAACTGGTCAGCTCTAGCCGTGTGGAGGACAAACACACAAATCTTATTCATCTTAAATTATCTTTTCTTAAATGTTGAATATTAGTTGTTGCAGTAGTCAGTCGATTAGTGGTGGTCACATTCCTTCTTGGTGGCCCCTCAGTCATCTGCAACACCTTATCATACAGTACTTGATTTACTACAGGATACTACAAAATAAAAATAAATAATATTGTTTATTTACTTTTTCATTATACTATACAGGTAATACACCATCTCCGACCACCATCAGGCCACACCATCACCATCAGGCTACACCATCACCATCAGGCTACACCATCACCATCAGGCTACACCATCACCATCAGGCTACACCATCACCATCAGGCTACACCATTTAAGAGTTTCGACTGGACAAAAGCGTCTCGATCAGCACCTGTAAAGGAGATATTATTATTAGTAGTAGTAGAAGTAGTAGTAGTAGTAGTGTTTTTCAAATCGTTCCAAACACTCCAGTTCTCTCCCCTCTCTCTCACCTGGTATTGTTTCTCTGATCGTTCCAAACACTCCAGTTCCTCACCTGTAAAAACAGTGTTTGCTGTACGTCTCTCCTCTCCTCCCAGCGCCTCACAACCTGAAAGTGAGAGAAAATGAACTTAACACGAGTCGAGCAAACGTGAGTCTCGCGAACGTGAGTATAGTGAACGTGAGTATGATGAACGCGAGCCTAGTGAACGCGAGTATGGTGAACGTGAGCATATTGAGCGTGAGCCAAGTGAACGTGATTTTTAAGACTCCAGCACACACACACACTCACTTGTCTCTTCCAAGCTTGCAGTCGACGCACTTCAGCCTGGAGACCCGCTACCCTCTCCTCCAGTTCTCTCAGCTCACCCTCCAGTTCCCACTTACCATTCTCAGACTGTCAAGTATTAGTGGGTTAAGTTAGTGTTTTACCAGGTTGTTATCCTACTCGAGGGACAGTTATCGACACGGCACAGTACACAGGTGGTTAAGTTTTCATGTCATCGTATCCAAATGTTAAATTGTCCTACTCAAGAGATTATCGTACAACATAGAAATTATTATACTCAAGATGTTAAGTTACAGTACTCAAGATGTTAAGTTACAGTACTCAAGATGTTAAGTTACCGTACTCAAGATGTTAAGTTACCGTACTCAAGATGTTAAGTTACAGTACTCAAGATGTTAAGTTACAGTACTCAAGATGTTAAGTTACCGTACTCAAGATGTTAAGTTACCGTACTCAAGATGTTAAGTTACAGTACTCAAGATGTTAAGTTACCGTACTCAAGATGTTAAGTTACCGTACTCAAGATGTTAAGTTACAGTACTCAAGATGTTAAGTTACCGTACTCAAGATGTTAAGTTACCGTACTCAAGATGTTAAGTTACCGTACTCAATACATTTATACAATAAACTAAAGATTCTTACAATCAAACCAGATGTCTACATGGCACTGACCTGTATGGCTTTAGTGGCACCGAATTCTGAGGCACATTGAAAGAGGCACTGAAAGGCGGCTATGGTCATGTTGGCCTCATCTCTCACCCTAAAGGTAATAACACCATTAGTTTGTCTTTAATAATGAAATTAATGGTTTATTGAAGAATGTAACAGTCAATGGCTGAAAATATACGATGAAGGAATTAATAGACTGACATTGAGGAATTGGTTGGTTGGCGTGTGTGTGTGTGTGTGTGTGTGTGTAAGTAGTTAATAACTCACCTAGATAACAGAAGACCTCGTTCAGGGCAGTCTAGCGTCACCTGTCTAATTAATTCATCTGTTAGGGAGAAATATTATTATTAGAATTATTATTGGTGTTAGTGTTAGTATTCTTGGTATGGTTGTTATAATTATCTTTATTATTACAGTAGTAGGAGGAGAGAGAGAGAGAGACGCACCAAAACATTCTCTGTACAGGTCCCGTCTTATAGAGCAGATCCCTCCCGTTCTCGCTTGCTGTTCCTTGATCTTGAGGTCTAGCTGCTCCCAAAGCAGTATCACGGCTGTTCTACTGGGTGGCGCACGAGATACCTACCCAGAGGAGAGATCAAAGGGACTGAGAGAGATATATACTTCCTGATGAGACATGTCGGGTGTGTCAACATGAGAGATAAAATAACCGAGATATAAATGGTTAGGTGGAATGAACCGGTGAAAGAGAAAAGTCTATTTTGAGATAAACTAAGAGACTACAATATACAAAAGACAACAGTAATATTTTGAGAGATTAACTGAGAGATGTATCCTAAGAGACCACAAAATACATAAAGACTACAACAGGATACAAGGCAATACAATACCCGCTGTATCCACGTCATCCCCTCTTCATCCTGCCATTCACAAGGTGGAATAAGAACGTCGATTATCTTCTCCCCTCTCTCCTTGTCTGTTATTGTCGCTTCGTTATCCTCGTCTGTGGGATAAGGAACAACACGATAAACGAAGAATAAGTGTTAAGGAAGAAGAATAAGTGGTAAGGAAGAATAAATGGTAAGAAGGGAAATGAAAACTACTACAACTACTTCCACAACCACCATCACCACTAACTACCATTATTAACACTACCACCATCACACCATCATCACCAACACCACACATTCACCATCACCACCACACACTCACCATCACCACCACACCCTCACCATCACCACCACACCCTCACCATCACCACACACCACACACCTCACCATCACCACCACACACTCACCATCACCACCACACACTCACCATCACCACCACACCCTCACCAACACCACCACACCCTCACCATCACCACCACACCCTCACCATCACCACCACACCCTCACCATCACCACCACACACTCACCATCACCACCACACACTCACCATCATCCATGCTGTCCATCTCCAGGGCGGCTGTGATAATTTCCAGATCATCTTCTGATTCTTCCAACTGTAAAATATATATTATATAATCACCTGTATAATAATAATAATAATTGACGGTTTATTGAAAGAGTTCTGCAGCCCGAAGGCTGAAAATATACATTGGACATAAATAACTTATTACATACATTGGTGGTTTAACAAAAGCCTTCACTAGAGAAAGGTAAAGGAACATACAGATTATTGTAGGTGTTGAACAGCAAACTCGTAGTGTAGTAACTCCCTCCCAGATGGTGTTAGGAGGAACCTCACGTGGTGTAGTAGTTCCCTCACAGATGGTGTTATGAGGGGCCTCACGTGGTGTAGTAATTCCCTCACAGATGGTGTTATGAGGGGCCTGACGTGGTGTAGTAATTCCCTCACAGATGGTGTTATGCGGGGCCTCACGTGGTGTAGTAATTCCCTCACAGATGGTGTTATGCGGGGCCTCACGTGGTGTAGTAATTCCCTCACAGATGGTGTTATGAGGGGCCTCACGTGGTGTAGTAATTCCCTCACAGATGGTGTTATGAGGGGCCTCACGTGGTGTAGTAATTCCCTCACAGATGGTGTTATGAGGGGCCTCACGTGGTGTAGTAATTCCCTCACAGATGGTGTTATGCGGGGCCTCACGTGGTGTAGTAATTCCCTCACAGATGGTGTTATGCGGGGCCTCACGTGGTGTAGTAATTCCCTCACAGATGGTGTTATGAGGACCTCGACGTGGTGTAGTAATTCCCTCACAGATGGTGTTATGAGGGCCTCACGTGGTGTAGTAACTCCTTCACATATGGTGTTGAGGGACCTGACGTGGTGTAGTAATTCCCTCACAGATGGTGTTATGAGGGGCCTCACGTGGTGTAGTAATTCCTCACAGATGGTGTTATGAGGACCTGACGTGGTGCAGTAATTCCTCACAGATGGTGTTATGCGGGGCCTCACGTGGTGTAGTAATTCCCTCACAGATGGTGTTATGCGGGGCCTCACGTGGTGTAGTAACTCCTTCACATATGGTGTTATGAGGGACCTCACGTGGTGTAGTAATTCCCTCACAGATGGTGTTATATGAGTGAGGTGTGGTCCCGGGCCTTCCTATCGTAGACGGATTAACACATCGCTGGTTGTTGTTGGGTCTCACAGGCCGTTATCACTGGGTACCTGGGACCTCATTGTGTGAAGGTTAACTTGGGTACGACTGTTACTGTTGAGTTGTTCTCACTGACTTAAGCACTGTTCACCACTGTTCGCCTCTGTTTAACACTGGTTCCGTTCCTTTTCTAAATGAAATTGTAACTTCTGGCGAGAACTTGTTGATATTCCGGTGGGGAGGAGGGTTCAGGGGAAGGGGTTGGTATGGGCCAACTTAACAGTTGACCTGGCTGCTCCGAGAGGGGCGCCAGGTATGTCTTGACCCTTCGGTGGTCAAGGATGTGTGTGTGTGTATATATGTATGTTTGTTTGTGATGTAAAATAATAGTAATACAGTAATGATAATAATAATAATAATAATTATTATAATACAATATAGCACAACAATTACTGGTGTATTGTATGCATAATATACGTACTATAATTATATTAGTAGCATAATGTGATAAATCAGTTGATAGAAGGAGACCAGACAAGAGTAAATAAAGAAAAAGGTAATGAATTTGAGTTAAATATATACAGTATATGACAGAGATAGATACACGGAAATATAAAACTTATTACTGTACATTTTTTGTGAAGTAATAATACATATCATAACATATGTAAAGTTGTAGTAGTTAATAGTAAAGTAGTTTAAGTAATATTCTTACCGAGTCATCAAAGATTTGTTCAACTTGTTCTCCATTTGAGTTAATTTTTATTGGAGCTTCTAACTGAAGCAGCCCAACGTCCATCTTGCCTTGTTGAGCACTAGATACTCTTATGGCTGGGAACGTCTTCACTCACTAATATTATAATCTAATGTTTACTTATATATGTTTGTCTAAAGTTATTAAATATATACAGTGATGTACGAGTTTGTGTATTAAGTTGTTATACATGTACAGCAATGAGTTTGTATATAAAGTTTGTTATATATTGAGGTTTGTTGTGGTTGTCATGGCAACCAGTTGTCTTAGTTCCGCCTATGGCTGGAGCTGTATTCATTTATTTATTTATTTTTACTGTTATAACCTTTATTGTTCAGTAACAGAATTCTGTCTTAAATTGTTGATAAACAAGCGTAGCAATTAGCCTTTTACGCGCTTGAAGACCTCCTAAATACACTATAGTTGTTAAAAGTGCAGTATTAACATTATAACATCAACGCCAATTGTCCAGTGTATATTTATTATTGTAAACACTGTTTATATGAAATGTCAGTGTATAAAAAATAGGGATTAATATATTCAAATTTCGTTACAAGTATAATGAACAAATACTGTAAGGGTACACTGCTGCAAGGTCGATGTTGTTTGAGTACTACGAACAAAATACCTAAAATATTTTATTTTAACACATAATAAACTAACAAAACTTGATATAAATATATCAAGAGTTTTGAGCTGTTATTTGTTATTATTCTTACCATTTTGTCGTAACTTTATGCATTATATTCTACCAATCTGTACCCGGGCATAGATACACACAAATAAATTATATAATACCACTTTGCATAAAAAATATTTACCATAGATGGTATTCACACAAAGACAGATAGGAAGTTGTCTACTGTACTCTTTTCCTCCATAAATTGTCTTTTCCCATAAATTTATGGATGATAGATTATGTAAAGGGTTTTAAGACTGTGGTCGAAAAACTGAAATTTTGATAATTAATTGTCTTATTACTACTCTAGATTATGAAGGTTGATATTTAATTGTGTTAATTGATGAGAACACTTAATAATTAGAATTAGTGTACTTCCTTCAGTCAATACTAATAATGATACCCATATTGGTTTAGTTTTTAGTACACCTGAGACATCAGTTGTTAAGTTTGACAAACTACAAAATTCAGCTCAGATTTATTGTGTATGCTTCAGTATAATAATATAAATTACCGGTACAGGTATAAGTACTAAGTGAAAATAGATAACTGAAAGATGATAAATATATTCAACAACTATTAATGCAAAAATTTATTATTCTTACTTCAAAATAATAGCAGCAATTGTAACATCATATAATTGTTTTACTTTGGGTCAGTGGGGAATGAATAGAAAATAATACTGACAGAAAACCAATAATACTGAAGCTTAATACTGTACAGTACAGTACTGTACATATATATTGTACTTGTCTTATAAGCTCATAAAAAATTTATTTGTTAGATAAACTTAACATGCATCACATATCACATGTTGTCTTTTGAGATCTTGAATCCTTTCCTCCGAGTACTGGAGAATCTCTGAAAGTACATACTGTGTATGTTGGCCGAGAACTGGGGGTGCAGCTCTAATTCTGTTCTGAGAGGAACTGAATAATACTGCTGGTGCTACCTGCTTTATTTTCCCAATACCTGGATGCTCAACTACCTGTTCCATCTGGTTGTGGATTACTTGTGGGTCAGAGAAGGTCTGGGAGAGTGTATTAATAGGTGCATAGGGAAAAGAGCATCCCTCAAAAATGGAAAGCCATTCCTCTGTTGATTTTTGCTGAAAAGTGCTTCTTAGTGTATTGGTGAGAGTGTCACGATTTTTTACTCTTAAAGCATTTGTAAAATATCTCTCATCTTTTAAGAGGCTTTTAAGACCAAGGACATGACATAAAGCTGAAAATTGATCATTACTTAAAGCACCAATGATGAGGCTGCCATCACTGGTTGGAAAGGCTTGATAAGGTACAATGCTTTCATGGCCAGTGCCCCATTTTTTTGCCTCCTGCCCTCCATTTAAAAAGTTTGACGCTAAATTCACCATACATGATACTTGTGTTGACAGCAAACTGCAGTCAATCTTCTGTCCACTTCCAGTTTTCTGTCTATCAAGTAATGCTGCCATAATGGCCCCATGTGCATATAATCCTGTTGCTAAATCAGTCATAGCGACCCCCACCTTACATGGCTCTCCATCCTCCGGTCCAGTGACCCCAAGAAGTCCTCCAATAGCTGCTGCCATTACATCATAACCTGGTCTGTTTTGGTAAGGCCCTGAAGCTCCATATCCAGATATTGAACAATAAACCAAGTGTGGTGCAACTAGTTTTAGTTCATCATACCCCAGTCCTAATCTGTCAAGAGCACCAGGGATAAAGTTCTCTATCAATACATCACTATGTTTGACTAAATCATGCATAAGAGATACTCCATCAGGATGCTTGAGATCTACACCGATACTTTTCTTATTTCTGTTTACACTGAGGAAGTAACAACTTTCTTTACCTACAAAAGGGGGACCCCAGCTCCGTGTCTCGTCTCCTTTATCGGGTCGCTCCACCTGAGAAGGTAAAATTAATTCAGCTCACACACAAACAAATTTATCTTTTACACTGTTTAAAATTAGTGACTGATCCTGAAAACCTGTTCTACAATTGAGCCACTGAGGAATGACTCATATATACAGTAAATAAGTGCTCCTAAACTCAGGCTGCCATAGTTTGGGGTTGTTACGACCGTGTCGTATTTTTTTTCTTTTTTTTTATATATAACATGCTCCCATGTTCCATATTATTCCTGTAATGATGTGTTAAATTTACTATTATATATTCTAGTCACCTTACCCTGTGCTGTTAAGGTTTTACTGTCATTATTTGTTCAAGCCCATCTTATTTCTTTATTTTGTATTGTAACCAGCATTCTTTGTTCTCTAACGACCATCTGCATCGTTAAACGACCCACCGGCGGGTCGCGTGGCGGGAACCGACCTTATATATAGGACCCACCAACTGACTTGAGTCAGTTCAGTTCTCTTGTCATACAGTACACATCCTTTGAGTGTCACTTGTTACTTATACTTAATTTATTTGTGTTGTTCCTGTCGCCACCAATGTGGTATATCTATGTGAGTACCTATTTATGTCTCTGTGTCCATCAGTATTTGCCTAGTTGTATTCAAGTAATTCAGTGTTTCACGTTAGTTAATTTCAGTGATAGTTTTTACATGTTTATGCAGTGTTAACGTAATCCAATGCTTTATTTTTATTCTTTTGATGTTTCGATGTTTTGTATCACTTGTGTCTTAAAAGTTTCGATGGTGAATCAATTTGTTGTGACAGCCTACGAGGCTCTTTATTGTGTTAATATTTAATCAATTAAATTCTTAAAGGTTTACTTTATTTATTTTTATTCTCTTTTAATTTACTTCACTTTTTGTTTGGTTACGCCTAGAACCTGGATATTTAAGTAAATTAAGAGACGGCGTAACAGGTTGAGTGAGCCAAACTCACCTGGCTTTGCCAGCATTTATACTGTATATGAAATATTTGAAAATGGTATTACACGTACGTTAAAAAAATATACTTAATATACATTTCATGTAGATCCACATTATGAAAAAAATATAAACTGATCACTATGTAAATGGTGGCCAAATGTCCTTGAAATTTATAAAAACAAAGTCCCTCTTAAGTCTTTTACACCAACTTTTATATAACCATACAAATATTTGTTGTCAAAGAGCTGCAGTTACAAGTCATTTAAGTTACTCCACATGACAATACATCTTAACAACAAGTACAAAAGAGAGGTACTGTATGATCATATCTGACTTGCCATCAGTTGATGATGTCACTTTTCATCTAGCTATACACTAATACTCCCACTCCTGTAACTACCGGTATCATATTTATATATTTTTTCTAAATATTTTCATTATCATATCTTGTAAGAAGACTGACTATAAACCATAATTTTACTGCAGCTTCATTACCTTTATAACTTCAGCCCCAAGATCACCGAGAACCATAGTTGCAAAAGGTCCAGCGAGTATTCTTGTTAGGTCAATTATTCTGATGTCAGACAGTGGACCAACAAGTGCTGCAGATGGAACGGAGAATTAAATGTGCATATCACACACTTTCAAGAGAGTTTATGAAACAACTAAATTAAAATAATATCCCTGATTACGAACCCTTTAAGATGCTGTGGTTTATATGTTTGTGTCGACTCCTACAAAGAGCAAGTGATGTAGTGGCTGAAATAGTTCCATCTCTTATCTTTGTTTCTATTATATTTTGGACATTTCCTGCAGTTCTGTCTCCTGTCATCATTTTTTATCTCTGTACATTTCCTATTTAGAAAATCTTCTCCTGTCTGTCAACTGACCCTATCAATTTCTTTGTGAAATTATCTGTAGCCTCAGTTCTATCTATCAACTTTCTTCTACCACATTGTCCATTTCCTTAAAAATTTAATTAGTGATCCACTCACACTCAGCTTGGCTCCTATTGTGTCCTAAACGTTTCCTCCACATTCTTACATTATTTCGAAGAGATCATTCCATTGCTATTCTATTTCTTGTTCTTCAAATTCTTCCTCTAACAATACTGAAAAACTGTTTCGAGTTTCAATTTCATATTCACTTCCCACTTCTGTTTTCAGCTCCCCTAAAACCTATTTGTTTATATCCCAACACTTTTTTCCTTTCACCTTCTAGTGTTAGCCCCACTAACTCACTGCACGACTGCTACACCCTCTGGTCACTCTAGTTTGGGCCACAAAATTAAAATATTAATCTAAAAGTGAAGGAAAGTTAGTTTGTCAATAGGTTATTTTTCTATCAATTCAGTCATTAGTTTACAGTACAGTACAGTAGTCAGGGATGTGATTGGGTCTTAAAAAAAAAAAGAGCTGGGGGGTCTGGGGAAACACCTACCCAGGAAGTTTTTACCATATTTAACTTAATTTCTCAAACTGTTACTCATTTTGTGAGCGCCTAATAGTTAAAATACACAGCACCCAAAATCAAACATGTACGTTTATTGCAACAATATTTTTCATGCATATATACTAGTCTTAATAATTCCTTTAAAAATTTTCGTTGTTACTAAACTTGAATTTGTTTCATATTTTTAATTGTGCACCATTATTGAGAAGATAAACTAAAAGGTAAGCTTTTATTGCACTGTATTGTGTAAGAATTCAAAATTTAATATTTACCAAAGGGATTTATCTCTAATGTACCAGCAACTGGGGTTTCAATAGCATATGCAGTCCCAAAATAAGAAAAATAAGTATGTTCCAGGATACATACTGTACAAACAAAATATTTAGTTTTATTTCCCCAACAGCTAATTTTTTCAGGGAGAGTAAACGCTTCTGTTTTTGTTGCTGGAAGGCCTCTCTGCTCTTCCTTGATTTTTGAGTCATTTCCTCACACTCTGTTTTCGTTGATTCTAACTGTTTCTTTAACAAAATTTTCCTCTTATTTTCTTCTTGCTGCAACCTCTTCTGCTTTAACATGCTTCTATACCTACTGCTGAAGAGTTTTACGTTCCTACACATCATAGGGTCCCTCCTGGGGGACACACACACACATGCCTTACAGCCCTGACCTCCTGGGGGACACACACACACACATGTCCTACAACCCTGACCCCCTGGGGGACACACATGCCCTACAGCCCTGACCTCCTGAGGGACACACATGCCCTACAGCCCTGACCTCCTATGGGACACACATGCCCTACAGCCCTGACCTCCTGGGGACACACACACATGTCCTACAACCTTGACCCCCTGGGGACACACATGCCCTACAGCCCTGACCCCTGGGGGCATGCCTACAGCCCTGCCTCCTGGGGACACACATGCCCTACAGCCCTGACCCCTGGGAGACACACACATCCCACAGCCTGACCTCCTGGGAGACACATGCCCCTACAGCCCTGACCTCCTGGGGACACACATGCACTACAGCCCTGACCTCCTGGGGGACACACATGTCCTACAGCCCTGACCTCCTGGGGGACACACATGCACTACAGCCCTGACCTCCTGGGGGACACACATGTCCTACAGCCCTGACCTCCTGGGGGACACACATGCACTACAGCCCTGACCTCCTGGGGGACACACATGCACTACTGAGTTGCCTATATAACTATGAAATATGGCATGGGTAATAGAATAAATTGTGATCATCAGAAAGTGTAAAATTATTATAGAAGCTTTGGTAGTTATATTGAAAAATCCTTAGCCCCTAGTGGGGGAGGGTGCGTCAAGTGGATAGGGTGGAGGGGCATATTATAATGCTTCTAATAGTGGCATTGTATGACGTCATTGATCTTTGGTCAATGAAATGCTAAAGAATCGAAGAAGGGAAAGGAAAAAAAGCAATACTCAGCCAATGAGAAATAGGGTATATGATGTAGTGCATGAACATGTAGAGTGCGGCCACTATACTCAGTGTACTGGCTCATCATCCTTGTGCGGCACAGTCAGTAAACTGACCCATCGACCCTAGAGGGTCTATTATTGTTATTTATTGTCAAACATTTCTTTCGTCTTGGTCATACCACCACCACCCCCCCAAATTTTTCTCAATTGATCTACGTGATTCACGTGAGTTGCCTAAAACAATGGGAAAAAAGGAAAAATGGATAAATCACATCTCTGTACAGTAAAGAAACAAACACTGATACAGTACATTTATACCTTAAACAATTATCTTACTTGAGTGTTTTTTCTTTTCTAAATTTGTAGACTGTGTGCTGTAGTAAGGTGTTTGATGATGCATCCTGACCATCAGTGCTGGACAAGGAGTCATCATGTAGCCCTTCAGCAGTCTCGGCCATATTTGTGCACACATCTTCATTAAGCTGAAATCAAATTAGAGATTATTAAGTCTGTTGAATTATCTTCATTATAGTGTATAGTACATCTTATGAGGATCTATAGTACATGTACTCTGATTTATGTGGATGGTTGCACATGGCACAAGTCGACCTTTGTTTCAGATGGGCAATAAGTGTTGTTCCAAACCTAACACTGTAAATGTACCTTGTACTTAGTGCAGCAATATAAATTACTATACTGTACTGTACAGTATCTGACAAGCTTGGCACTGGAAACAAATCAGATTTGGAAATTTTACATAAATTTGAAATAATAGTCCTAGGTTATACTGTTCTGTGCATTATAAAATACAGCGGACTATATAAAAGGTTAAAGACTGCAGACCCCAGATGCTCTAGGAGTGTGTCTTGCTCTAGGAGTGTGTCTTGCTCTAGGAGTGTGTCTTGCTCTAGGAGTGTGTCTTGCTCTAGGGGGTAAGCACAGTGAGGTAATGTATGTAAACAGTACAGACACAACACGTGACCTGTGAGCCGTGTGTAAACATAAACATCAACTGTCCGAATCCTTACACCGTTTGACTCTGACTTCGACTCATTATTTAGTCACTTCCTCTGGTACACTATAAATATCAATAAAGACTACCTACTGAACATATTTTAGTATATATTTTTAAGTTATTAAATGAAATATAGATAGATTTTTATTTTAATATAAGTGAAACGAGATTAGGTTTTGATATCAAGAATAGCATAGATAATGGTTAATGAGTTGATAAATACAAATGATTTTAATTTGGTATAATCTTCTCTCTGGATTCACTATAGTGTCTCGGAATAGAAGCTAAAGACATATAATTAAAGAAAAAAACATGTATATGAATGTTTCTTCTCAGCCGTCGTGAGGGTTGAGACCACCAGCCTGACGGGCCATGGATCACACTGCAGGATGTCTTCAGTGTTTAGTGATTCTCCTCACCACTGTACTGCTGGGAGAAGGTTTTTCCCCCATTGCAGTAAACACCTGGAATTTTACTAATGCAACTGAGAAGGGTAAATTGTTTGAAGTTTGGTGTATTAGCTCGTAAAAAGGAGCAACTTTAGGAATATACTATATAAAATAAAACTTGTTCCTTATATAATCTTGTATTTAAGAGGCATACTGTCATTGAGAGATGTTTTGTTTGAGGATGGTAGAATGATAAAAATAATTTAATGTAAAATTTGTGCTGTATTCACTTCTGACCTTTATTTCTTGTGAAAAGACCCCAGAAAATTCCCTAAGCTAATTCCTCGCTCCGAAGTAGGTAGCAAATCATCATGTAATGCAATGGTTGTCTGGCTTCAGGTCCAACCAGGTAAAGGATTTTCAGGGTAAATCCTTCATTTCGTTAGAGCAGCAGTTTTTAACACTTGGTATACTGTACAGGTGCTTTCTTACAGCTTGGAGTGTTCTCAGTGAAGGTGGTTCAGCATTAGATGCCGTTGAGAAAGGCTGCACCATATGTGAAGAATTACAGTGTGACGGCACAGTAGGGTTTGGCGGCAGCCCTGATGAGAATGGAGAAACCACTTTAGATGCTATGATAATGGATGGGTGAGGAGAACAGTTACAAAAGCATTATAATGTACACAATGTATATCAGCTTAATGGTAAATTTGCTAAAACAGTTTAAAATCAATAAGAATTTGATTAACCAACTGTGATAAATACAGTATTATCAAAGCCGACAACTAATACACCATTTTTACAGCTTATATCAGTATTTTAATAGATTGGTCATTGTTGAAGGATTAAATAATTATGAGAAAGATTAATACCTGTATGTTAAACAAGCCTTTACTTTACACAGGACAACACATGATGTGGGAGCAGTTGGTGCCTTAAGGAGAGTGAAGGATGCCATCTCGGTGGCACGGAAAGTAATGGAGCACACCTCTCACACCTTACTGGTTGGTGACCAAGCTACAGAGTTTGCTCTCATGATGGGCTTTAAGGAATACAACCTAACAACCGATTCTTCAGCCAAAAAGTTTGAAAGTTGGAAGAATTCGTCGTGCCAACCAAATTACTGGAGAAATGTGTTGCCTGATCCAAAGACTTCGTGTGGACCATATCTTCCAGTAGAAACAAAGATGAAACATTACAAGTGGTTTACCGCAAAAGAAGGAAAAAATTTCAATGTTAAAAATCATGATACAATTGGGATGATAACCATAGATAAGAGTGGTCATATTGCTGGTGGAACATCAACAAATGGTGCTATACACAAGGTGCCTGGCAGAGTGGGAGACTCACCAATACCAGGCAGTGGTGTATATGTTGATAAGCATATAGGAGGGGCCGCAGCTACTGGTGATGGAGATGTAATGATGCGTTTTATGCCAGCTTTATTGGCTGTGGAGTTAATGCGTAATGGACTTGCACCCGACAAGGCGGCGGAGACAGCTCTCCGGCAAATTGCCTCTTACTACTCAAACTTTATGGGTGCTGTTGTAGCTGTGACTATAAGTGGAGAATATGGAGCTGCTTGTCATGGCTTTGATAAGTTTCCTTATTCTGTTGTTAACTCGGAGTTGAAGACTGTGACTGTGATGAATGTTCCTTGTTTTGCATAATTATCTCATTCACAATGTTTTAGTAACTCCGCAATTATGACCGTCTTCATATTCAGACAACTTGGTTTATACAGTCTCCTCTATTGTTCAAGTTATAGCTTGTTATACTGTTATTCATATCTTTGAATATAAAGGACATTATCTATTTGTCTTTTCATGACCTCTGGCTACAGTTTTGAAAATAGAATGCTGAAATTTGGCAGTCTCATGCACCTCAGAAGTGTTCCGAAGGTGGGATATATATACTGTACTATTATCATCTTTCATGTTGTTTATCTGCTTTTTGTTGATATTCATACCCTCAACGTCATTATTTCACTCACCTGGTATGTTATCTGGTTTCTATTGATTTTGTTGTTGTTAATTATTAACTGACGTCATCTTCTTGCTCTATAATATCTTAAAATACTTTCCTTTCGTCGTGAATTATTGTAGCCGTGGCATCGTCTCGCTTCCGTCGATAAATTGTGTTTATATAATTTATGTTATTGTGACCATTGCATCAGCTGCCATCTTGTAGGTACAGAACACCTTATGGGGGATTTTGATTTATTTTTTGTTTGTTTGTGTGTGTTTGTTTTGTCTTGTTTTACCATAATTATCAATGAACTAAAATGGTCTCCAACATCTAAGTTACCCTGTATATACAGTACAGTACTTTATATATACGTATACCAGTAAGTCTTACACCTCAGTAATTTTTTGACCAAAATATACTTTTCTCTCAGAATTAAAATTTAAGGGGTTTAACTAATTAAGTAATTACAGAATAACACATTATCACCAAAATCACACTTTGGAAACCCATAGTTGGCGAGTAATTAGCACTGAAAAATGTCATTAAATCTTGCAAGCCTCATTACAACCACTAATTTCCCACCAATCAAATCGTGGACCATATATTCGAAATCAGCATGGTCTGGAGTATGGTGTTAATCTGTAATTAATTAATTAGTTAAACCCCTTAAATTTCAATTCTGAGAGAAAAGTATTTTGACGTTTTGGCCCAAAAATTAGATTTTGATGAAAGTCACATTATAAGTACTCCAGACCATGCTGATTTTGAATATATGGTCCACGATTTGATTGGTGGGTAATTAGTGGTTGTAATGAGGCTTGCAAGATTTAATGACATTTTTCAGTGCTAATTACTCGCAACTATGGGTTTCCAAAGTGTGATTTTGGTGTTCAAATACTGACAAACTTGAACTTCAGGGAGCAGCACTAGTGGATGTATGGAGGAGCTTTACTGAGACGATTATTGGGTCTTTCAGCATTTTGACCATTGGGAAGACTTGACTGGCCAAGTTAAAATGTCAATTACAAATCTCTAAATAAGCCACTAACTCACTTGAAGCAACTGGTGTTGTAGAATCAGATACACAGGCCATGGTCTACAGTACTCATAAGTATCCCACACATTTCGTACAATTCAACAAGTTGGGTCTCGAGATCAAATTGTTAACTGTAAACACACCAAAGTATTGTCAGAGGAAAAGAAACATATATGTGAGTTACCAGCTGAGTGGACATGCATATCTTTTAATATATCGGTAACAATCCACACTGCCTATAAACTGAATTATGCTAAACATAAACAAAATACAGTAATTTACTTAAACCTATCTGATCAACACCTATGTACAGCTTCAGAATATCAACTACAGGTACAAATATTTGTCTTAACTAGTGTAACTGGTCTTGGTACATGACTCACAGCCATATTTCCCTCACTGATAAGCACCACAAGTATTAGGTTTCAACATACACAAACAATTTGTTTTTGTGATGGAAATTTTTAGGCAAGACTGTCACTCAAAGCCTACATATTGTCTTTTTTTTTTTACAGTTTACAGGATCACGTCAGGGAGTTATTAGATATTGTTGTTGGAACTTTTGTGTATAAATGAGACAATTATAATGTCTATGGGTCTAACAATCAGTGTCAAGCCAACTTCAAACCTCTGTACAATTTTAAGTTCTAAGATTAAAAGCCCACATGAAAGTGATCTCTAAGCCCACAGATCCACTAAAATTGTCTTGTTTATACATGTACACTCGCCACAAAAAGTTCTCAGTCGCTCTAAGGGTCGCACAGTATGACAAAATGAATGGGAAATCTGAACATTGCTCTATGAGGAAGTTTTACCGCAATTTAAATTACTTCTTTTCACCTGTAAATACTATAAAGACAAGCAGCATACAGTATATTATTACGAAATACTGAGTCACTTCACAACCAGACATACCTACCATTCTGAGATGACACGAGCCATAGTGCTCAGTCTGAACTCTGTCGTGCCCAGCTGTTTGAGAACCCTTTGTGGCGAGCATACAGTACATGCAGAAGTTTCTTAACATAATCATACCACCTGCAACCCCCCTGATTTGGTGAGTGGCACTGAGATGCTGAATTTTATATACAGAAAGTAATTATGTCCACAATGAAGCTTTCATACACAATGTCATGGAAGGTGTGATGAACTTTTCTATTTGAATTTCAATAAAATTCTTTTAGTAAGTCAAATGATACGTATTAACCAAAAATTAAAGGATGATATACTGTATTTCTTATGTATTGAAATTTCTACCCAGAATATGACTGAAAAATTGGCATAAATCAAATTTTTCACTCTGAAGATGACTTAAATCTGACAAGTACAAGTGTGAACACAAGACATGAACAAATAACACATCACTGAACTAAAGGTATTAACTATAACTTAATACTGTAAAGGACCACTGCTATCAGGAGCACTGCTGGTGAAGCAAACACTGGAGAACTATGTAATACAGTATAAGTACTGCTGCTTACTGTTCATTCTGCCATTATCACAGAGACTTAAGTTGTAAAGCATCAAAGTAATTGGAATGGTTGCTAAACTTATCATATTCAAATTTTGACCTAAAAGTTGACTTACAAGCATAACAAATTATCTGGATGATTAATATATTTTTTTACGAGTTACTGTGCTGTATTGAATAATCTTCAAATAAGCACCAGCTCTCAAATATAATATAATATCTGTTATTTTTAAAGCTGTCAAGCTAGCTGCGCAATCATCAAGTTTTGTTATCACTACTGAGCATCTTTGTTCACTCTGTAATTATTCTCATTATCATAATATCTTCTCTTCATTGTCCTATATTTACGCAACATGTACAATGCCTCTATCTCCTTAATTACAAATTCTCCTCGGCCAATCATCATCTTGATCTGTTCTGGGTCAGTCACATCCTTGTTCTTAATGAAGGCATTCTTGAGCTTTTCCCTGAAGTAATCGTACCCCAGTGGATATTCTCGTCCCAGATACAGTAACTGTCATATATAATGAGAGATTTATCATGAATACATTGCATCACATAATATTTATATTTGAATATTATAAGACTGACATGGGGAGAGGTTGTAAGAAATAACATTAGAGTTAGAATCCTGGCAAGAGAGACTGCACGAAACCATGCAGCATGGAGAGTTGTCCTCGGGTAACTGTGCTCAACCCATACAGTCATGGAGAATGGCCATAAAACAATGATGATGGTAAGGAAGGTCATAGCTTGTGAAGTCTTCTTTCCCAGGAGGCTAATACACTCAAAGTCAAATCATAAGGTTACATTAAATCTGGTCTGTCCATATTTACTGTTATAAATGGCTGTTTCATATACAAGCTATGCTCACCTGGCTCTTTAACAAAATCAAACTGAGTGCAAAGTGAGTGAGAAGCAACAAATAATACAGTACCACTGATGAACTCAGTCTGACAATATTTGTTTTTTCATCTTTACTCACATTCTTATACAGCTGCACCACTTGTGGCCTCAGTGACATGGCTGGCAATTTTTTCTGCTGCTGGATCAATTCTGAACTGAAACCACAAAATAAATATAATACACATATAGTATATATTTACATCCCCCCAAATACACATATGCAACTTGTAACAAATATACAGTACACTGTAAATTATGAAGTGGCCAGTATGGACTTGTACTGTACTATACAGTCATTTAAAGAAGGGCAAACATAATGATGGTGGTCAATGGAAAAGGTAGCATAGTGCAGTACAGGTTACTCTCAAGTTATGATGTCTCGTGTTATGATCATTCGCTTTAACCATGTAATTGCAATTAATCACTCCGAGCTTAATGATTGCCCTAGGTACTGTGCATGGTTGTTTTCACTTGCCATACTATATTACTGTAGAGACACGAGACATTGATGAGATAGTGGAAGCCATCACTATGCAAAATTTTTTTAATAAACCACTAAAAATTCATATAAATGAGTGTAAGTAGTGAGGCATGTAATGGGGATATAAAACCCTATCCACTGATCATAAAAAAACATTTCTTACTTTGTTGCAACTGAAGTTATTAACAAAAACCCTTCAACACTGTCCATAGTCACCCCAGACCTACCCCAAGTCACCCATCTCTAGGGTGACTTTGGGCACCTATAAATCTCCTCTTTACAGAAAACATACGCTGTTTCAGGAATTTCTGTTGACATGTACGGATAACCCATTTCTTCACACACCAATAGTATATATTTAACATGCTGTATGCTCTTAGCCTTCAAACTTATATTCCAGCTTAAAAAAACCTCAAACACTGTCCAAAGTCTTACAGTACAGTCATCTCAGCATGTTGCTGCTGTGTGTTAAGGTTGCAGAGGTACAGTACTGTACTGTAATTTCAGCACTGTGGTAATCTCAGATGCTACACCAGACTCTCATCATTAACTATTATGAAGTCTAAAAATATAGGAAGGAACAATGTTTTCCAAATGTTAATAAAAAATCTCCACTGTGAACATAATGTAGTGCACAGCCACAAGCTACAATGCAACAGCCTTCATAGTTTAGATCCAGGACACTTCGTCACTTTGTCTCATACACAGGAACGACTTACCAGCTACTGTACCTCTATACAAGTATTATATGATTCTTTGGAATAATATTAACTATAGTAGTGCATGCCCAGTAATTGCCAACAATGCATAACAGACAGGATCAACTGCACAAGTGGCTAACAGGTTGATCAGAGGCAAAGAGGATAAAGTACCAAACCTAACCTAAGTTATCTAGGTTAGGTTGGTTCATATTGTTACTGATAAATCACATAAAATAATATACAGTAACAGTATTTGGTTAAATTTTTAAGTGTTCCTGTGTATGAAACAAAACATAGCTACTATAGTATGTACAGTAGATGTAACAAAGGATATCATGTCGTAACACCTGGCCAGAGAAGAACATTCAGGATGAAAAACAAAAAACAATACTAAATAGAAAATTGTTCTTTCCCATTGGGCAAGAAAGCATTTATGTTCAATAGAAAAATTTCTTAAGGTTCCTGGTTAACATGAGCAACCTTCTTCCAGAACAGTATTACAGTACAGTACAGGTATCCTTCTTTAGCGTTAATTCACGTTATGTTAATTTGGTTTTATGATGAAACAAATATTGACAGCCTTTCTCACTTAACGTTAGGTGAAAACTCAGTGTACCGTATGTGGAGGCACCGGGCTGTAACTGCATCTCTAGCTCGCCACCTAACACCATTCCCTCCCACCGATATGATGTCACAGCATACCATATGTACAATACTGTACAGTAGCTAAAACAACTACTGTATCTGTGCATACTTTGTGGGAAACAATATGAGACCATGAACGATAAATTTTGGTATATGAGGGCTGTCACTATACACTCATAAAATTTCGGAGCATATCGACCCCCACCTGCACAGATAGTTGCTTTATCTACTGTACATAGCAGAGTGGACAGTGTATGCTAGTGTGTACGGTACAGTAGAGGGTGTATGCATAGGCATACCAAAGGGGGTAATCCCCCCCCTTGGGCTAATAAATTATTCCAAATACTGTACCTGTAAACCATCTTTAACAATCAGAAAAGAAAAAATATTAATAATAAAATAACAACATCAACAACAAAAAGTATAAAAAAGAAAATTATTTATTTCCTATTTCAAAAATACCTCGGTACATTTAGTTCAAAGTTAGCCCACTCCCCCCTGGCTGTATGTACAGTATACAGTGTGTGTACAATCCCTACTTCACGGAAGGCAAGGAGAGTGACAGTTAATAACACCTGCTACAGTAGATGATACAGGACAAAGACAGGCCATCCTGTATCATCACATCACCATATGGCTTGCAAGTATCACACTCTCAAACCTGGAACTGCTCTGCACCAATTATTCTGGCTAACAGGGAGATGTCTACCTGCACACCACCAATAATGATGGTGTAAGTTATAAACAACCTTAACCTCTTCATCACAGGGACATCATTTTTAATATTTTATTTGGTTAAGGCCAGACGATTTTCTTCAGCTCAGAGGGGGTCCCATACACATGGGGCTAAGAGTACTGTACTGAAGTTTGTTTTCCTCAAGTTTTCTAAAGACATTTATTTTAATGTACACAATGCACATCTCTTAGTTCAGTGAGGATAAAAGCATTTGAATATATTTAACAAACAGCAAATAAGCAGCTGTGACAGTGCTTCAACAAAAAGACGAGCCTTGGCACCAACCTGAGGAAATTTTTCCATAAAGGATAAAAGCTTTCTTACCTCAAAAACTGACCAAAAATGGAATACGTTTTGCATAATTGCATCATTTCATTTCTATGATTTATTACTTACAGAAAATAGAACACGTTAAATGTATTACTGGTACGGTATTATATTATTTACTTACCTCATTAGTGGGCGGATAAAGAGCAGCTGTTGCCAGGAGGAAATGGTGGAATCTTTCAGCAAGGTCTGGGAATATTTTCTGAAAGATGGCTGTGGCGAGGTGTCCTTCGAATTGCTCTTCTTCCCTTCCAAATTTTGGGACTATGTCTTGGTCATCTCCTTTTACCCATTCAATAATTTGTGTGCTTTCTCCACTTTCAGGGTTTACAATATTTAAACAATTATTGACAGACTCTTGAGTGTAGCCGTCCAGAGTCAGTTTTCTGTAAGAACTCCAGCAATTTGAAACTATTTTTGTTCCTTTGATGATCCACTGTCTGATGACCTCAAGTAGAGTTTCTTCAGTTCTGTCTGGAATGGTCACCAGAAATATCTTTTTAGAATTCCGCTCCAGACCACCCAACACCCACTGTCCTTCGATGATTCGCCCTTTGTTGTATTTCCTCTTCCCAACTTTGGCCTCGCCTATCTCAACGATACATCCCGGACCACCAAGTATTCTCGAATTTTCTTCACAATAGTAGAGACAAACTTCCCTCATGAAACTAAACCAACTTGCGATGGTCTTTGGACACAGTTTTGTTTCAAACTCCACAACTTTATACGAGTGTCTGCGATTAATAAAGAGGTACATTAAATGAAAAATTTCTTGCCGTGAAAGTTTGGCTTTTTCAAAAAAGGTGCCTTTATAAGCACTCACTTTAAATTTGCAACGTCTTTTGGTATAACCTTTGCCATGGGTTTTCTTGACTACCTTCCCACACTTGTAATGGTTGTTCGGGTTAAAGAATATTTCAGAACTGCAGGTTGGACACTGTATGCTTTCCCTGAGGAGTTTGTGATCAAATAGCAAGTCCTTAAGTCTTTCATCCTCCGACACAATCTCAAACAGTGTGAAAAGATTAATGGAACAACCTGAACACATGTTTGCTCCACACTGACGAATTTTCCACTGAAATCAAAGTTCACATGTAAGGAGGCCACCAAACACTCTGCAAGTAGCACATATTGTACACATTTATAACACAGAGGGTCCCCGGGTTACAAACGGGTTCTGCTCCTGAGGACGTTCTTTATTTGGATTTGTACGTAAGTTGGAACACATGCTGTGTGCATACCGTACTAAAATCACTTAATTTAAAACAAAAGAAGAAATAGAATGACAAAATACACTAAATGAAAGTAAAATAATAAGTCATTCAGTAAATAAAATACCTGTACTGTAAATGTCAAGTTTAACCCCATTCGTATTGGAGGGTGTTCTAAGTCGGGGACCCCCTGTATATGCCATACTATATAGAAGAAAACTAAACTACCAAACCTAAATTATTAGGGTATTACAAAGTATTTTACTTTCAGACATTTAGATCTCGCTATTCTGGGCATTTTGAATCCCATATAAACATGGCGGAAATGGATAATAGCGACACAATTGAATTAAATTGATTTTTAATAGTTTTCAGTCTTAGTCTGTGAGGAGAAGTTATCAGCGCATCATGCATGAGCAATTTTGACTGATGTCATCCAGTCGTGACTAATGAGGTATCGATATCATCACGCAAATTTTTTTCGACCAATTCCATTTGATTTTTTTCAAAGGAAGCAGCCTGGGTACGATTTTAATTTCATTGACCAGTTTCATAATGGCAGTGGTGGAGGTTGGTTGTCGTTTGTGCTCCCGCGATTATTTTACGTTTATTGTCGAGTTTTACGAGAAAGAAGATCATTCTATTCAATTCTTACGTCTCCCTGGTCCTTCCACTTCTAACTAAGGTATTGTACTTTCGGACATGACGTGCCCCAAAGTTTTTTAACTACTGAAACATTTAGGTTAGTTTAAGCTAGGCCTACCAGGGGTCTGGGAGTGGAGCCCCCGGCTAGGAGTTAGGTTAGATGACTCGTTTTCGCTTTCTTCCCCACCCAAAAACTCTGATTTTTCAGGCTCTCCCCCATTACTGTGGGGGGGGGGGGAATAGCAATTTCCGCCAAATATGAAGGTCAGATTCGTTTAAAACACACCAAAATACACTGGAAAAACATATTGGTCAGCCCCTAGGGACTCATGTCCTAAAGTAAAAATTTGCCAATATTAGTTTTTTTTTATTATTCCAAAATAAAATTCCTTTCCATAAAAAGAACCATTCCTACAGCCTAATCATAGTAATGTCTTGTTTGGTTTTCTTTATCTACCAATTTCAGACATAAGTGATTTTATGCAAAACGCATTCCTTATAATTTTCTTTGGGTACGAAAGCTTTTATCTTCTGTGGAGAAATTTCCTCAAGCTGATGCTAAAGCTGGACCATTTTTGTTAAGTATTATCCAGATCTAGATGATTTTTGACAGCATTTGAACCACTGAGCAATTGTGGGTAAAATTACATTTATTGCCACCAAACAATTTTGAAGCTAACCTAACCTAGGCATGTGGCAATAAATGCAATAATATCCCAATTGATGCCACTTCCTGGTTAAATCAGACATAATTCTGTGATTGTTTCTGTCATATGGCTGAAGGCACTACCACTGCCTACCTGTCTTTGGTTATTTGACCGGGACCTGGGGGGAGGGGGGGATTGTGTATGATTTTATGATGATTTTAATGGGATTGTGGTTAGGATGGTTGTGGGTTATTTAACCTTTGAATGCTTTAATCGTCTTCCGATGCTCCGAGACGACCCACTGTCTCGTAGGTCTATACATCCGACACCTAAACAGTACCATAACTGATACACATTGAGGTGTTGGTTATTTAACAAAAGGATTTACAATTTAATATGATCTTATATTCTTTGTATCCTTAATTTTACCAATTTTACAAGTATTATTTCTATTTGATAGATTTTTCTAATAGCTTGAAATTATCGATAAAATGTAGAATTTTGTGGCCAAAAGTACTTAGTTTTATTTTAGCTCCAGGTCAAAGAACCAGTGGTTATACCGGCCATAAGACGAAGAGTGCGGGGAGATATGATGGAAGTATTAAATGGGTGAAAGGAATCAATAGAGGAGATATAGATAAAGTTCTTATAATATCCGAGCAGGATAGGACTCGGAGCAACGGATTTAAGTTGGATAAGTTTAGGTTTAGGAGGGAGATAGGAAGAAACTGGTTCACAAATAGGGTGGTGGACGAGTGGAACAAGCTTAGCAACTTTGTAGTAAGTGCTGGAACGCTGGAAAGTTTCAAAAGGAGGCTAGATAGATTCATGGATGATAGAGTGGTAGTAACTCTCGACAGGAGCTGCCAACCGGCCTATTGCAGACTCCTTATTTTCTTATGTAAATAAATACATTCAAAACTATTTTTCTTCCGTAATACAGAACTCCTAAAGAAAACAAACCATAAAGGTGGCAACCACACAACCGTATATACTTTTGCCAGTTCGTTTAACTTACGTTTACTCCTAGCGCTGTGAGGCGATGAAGGTGACGGGATACTTGTCGCCGGACGTCCTCCACAGAGTCCCGTGGTAACACTCACGTCCGCCTCTACCAGGTGGCCTTGTTCAGATAACACCACGAACATTTTAATTACATCACTTTATTTCCTCTAGTGGTAAAGATAAAACTATACCTTCTTTAATATTCTCTGAAGGTTATTAGGTAGTTTTAGATATGGTTTAATGTTTATGTCAAAGTATGAAAATACATGACATTGTGAGTTTAAACGTTGTATTATTTTAACATTCTTTTGTTGTTTGGTAACACCAGCTGATGAATCATGTTGTACTATGTTGAAATATGTACCACAGATAGTACTGTTATATAATTTAGGATAACAAGCAACATATATCAACCAAACCATTTTTTATACAAACAAATTGCCATAGGTTAATAAGGTTAGGATTCTTTAGGTTGACGAGAACTAAACGCTTTAATAATTGGTTTAAAGTTTATGTTCGGTTACTAATTTTAACATTATAATGTCTTGTGTTTGTGTGTGCTGCCACCTGCCAGTTGTCCCAGACAACAATGTCATAAACACGACATCCCGTTGTCATGGTGATGAGGACGCTAGTCGCTCCCTGGGCATTTATAACACGTCAAAAGTGCACCTGGTAATTGTATTTGGATTCATTTAATGTAGTAACATCACCTCAAAGAAGGATCGCTGAAACACGCCTATCTTAAATCCCTACGACCAGCAAGATGCCACCAAAGGTAGATTAATGAATATACTAGAATATCCTGTCTGAGACTATTACAGTCTTAGGATGTATATATTCTCAGAAGATATACTGAATGCTAGTCTGAGATTGACGTAATAAATACCGACGTACTTGCTGATGGATGTACCAGTCCAGATGTGTCTCAGTTAACCTTATATATTTAATGTTCTCTCTATCTCTCAGGCACAGGGAGGCACGAGAAAGCTGAGTAAGGAGGAGAGAGAGAAGCTCAGACGATTGGAACAAGAGCGGCGTCAACGGGAGGCTGAGGAGGCCAGGTGAACATGAGAGACTATTCATACATTCATACATCCCTGTAATATGTTGCCTCGGTCGGGTTCGTAAGTGAGTCAGCCATCAATACTGACTTCACATTCATCTGGATTAAACCTATTTTTATATAACAGTTCCATAACATGAATCAAAATCAGGCTAATGGATCACCAAGTAGAGTTTTAAATGCCATTCTCTTGTCAAGGAAAGTTTGTGTTAATTCTTAATGTATGACTAAGCTCATTGTGTGTATGTGTGGCCGAGACAAGAGAGGCGTAGGAAAGGAAGACTTTGACCTTTTAAGTGTCCAACAGGATCCGGGAAGAGGAGGAGGAGGCGGCGAGGCAAGAGCGAGAGAGGGTGGAGGCATTGCTGAGGGCAGAAGCTGTGAAGGAACAGCAGAGACAGCGAGTGGTGCAGCTCACAGCCACAGCGGCGGTCACAACACACCTCGACACCACCATGGAGCTCACCAGAGACCGCATTAAGGACCAAGAGGAGGTCAGAATGGGTCAGGAGAGGTCAGCAAGGGGTTGGGAGAGGTCAGTAAGGATCAGGAGAGGTCAGCAAGGATCAGGAAAGGTCAGCAAGGATCAGGAGAGGTCAACAAGGGTCAGGAGAGATCAGCAGAAATCAAGGGCTCAAAACAGATTATGAAAAGGACAAAAACCAATTTAACCCAGGACAGGAGAAGTCAGCAATGTGAGGAAAAAATCAACAGGGCTCAGGGAAGGTCATCTGGGGTCATGGGAGGTCATCAGAGGTCAAAAGAGGTCAGCAGGGGTAAGGGGCACTCAGAAGGGGCCAGGGAAATTAATAAGGTCAGGAGAGGTGAGCTGGGGTCATGGTAGCAAGGGTAATGAGAGGTCAGGTAGTTATGTATTAACGTTATCACCACAACGAAGGTAACACAGTGGTTATGTATCACAGTGGGAGAGGATGATGAGGTGTGATGGACTGCCAGATCCCACCAGTGTGCCAGAGATGAACAGATACCTTAGTCTTTGGCGGGCTGACCTGGACACAGCCACACTAGAGGGCGCCCTGGCCAAGACACACCAGGTCATTCACGTGAGTATCTCAACACCTACTACCTCTAACCTAACCTAACCTAACTTAACCTAACCTAACCTAACCTAACTTAACCTAACCTAACCTAACCTAACTTAACCTAACCTAACTTAACCTAACCTAACCTAACCTAACTTAACCTGCATTGTCTATAATAAACTGAACCAACTGTAAACTTGTATGACAATTTTACCAAATATCTATCCATCTATCAATCAATAGGTGATCTCTGAACTGGAGGCCGTCATGGAGGATACCGGAGAGGCCACGGAGAAGCAACTGAGGGACTGGAGGGAGGTGAGGATGATTGGTGGGAGGTGAGGACGATTGGTGAGAGGTGAGGATGACTGGTGAGAGGTGAGGATGATTGGTGAGAGGTGAGGATGATTGGTGGGAGGTGAGGATGATTGGTGGGAGGTGAGGATGATTGGTGGGAGGTGAGGATGATTGGTGGGAGGTGAGGATGATTGGTGGAGGTGAGGATGATTGGTGGGAGGTGAGGATGACTGGTGAGAGGTGAGGATGATTGGTGGGAGGTGGAGGATGATTGGTGGGAGGTGAGGATGATTGGTGGAGGTGAGGATGATTGGTGGGAGGTGAGGATGATTGGTGGGAGGTGAGGATGATTGGTGGAGGTGAGATGATTGAGGGAGGAGGATGGGAGGAGGAGGATGACTGGTGAGAGGTGAGGATTGGTGGGAGGTGAGGATGATTGGTGTGAGGTGATGAGGATGATTGTGGGTGGGAGGTGAGGATGACTGGTGAGAGGTGAGGATGATTGGTGGGAGGTGAGGATGATGTGAGGATGATTGGTGGGAGGTGAGGATGATTGGTGGGAGGTGAGGATGATTGGTGGGAGGTGAGGATGATTGGTGGGAGGTGAGGATGATTGGTGGGAGGTGAGGATGATTGGTGGGAGGTGAGGATGATTGGTGAGAGGTGAGGATGATTGGTGAGAGGTGAGGATGAGTGGTGAGAGGTGGGGATGACTGGAGGTTAGGTTAGGTTAGAGAAGACTGTACTGCACTGTATGTCCCTCAGATCTGGCTGGAGCTTCAGGAGGCACAGAAGGAGAAGTTGGACCAAGCCACCTACCATCAGCTGCTGGACCTACGACCACACCTAGACCACGAGACCATGGTAACCCTAGACTAAGATAACACAAATACTAACCTAACCTAACTTAACTTAACCTAACTCGCCAGCTCGATGTACAATATATAGTATGAGATTAAATATTGTCTGTATGATACTCAATAAACACTGAACGTTGCCTGTGTGACTGAAGGTGTTGTTGTTGATGGTGGCCGACAGGTGTACTCTTTCTTCACGTCCTCCCCGCTGGTGTCCCTCGCCCTCTGGAGCAACACCACCAGATCACCCAAGAACAACTGCCACGAGGTAAGACACAAATGTTTAATGTCCCTTCAAGTGCTGCTGAAATGTCTTAATAGTACCTTAGATTATGAAGTTTTGATACGAGGACACTTAATAATCAGAATTTTAACTTTGGACCATATTATAGGTCATCCTGAACACGCTGATTAAGGATCTGTGGTCGAAATGTTGATATTTTGATAATTAATTGTTATACGTGTACCTGTGACTTTACTATGTGTATACCTTGTAGCTCTAAGTATTAATGAGGTGTTTTGTTCCTCTGTATCTTTACCTGTACTGTTACCTGTACTGTTACCTGTACTGTTATATTAGGTGAAGGAGCTGGGGTTCACCTTCACCTTACCGGAGGACTTGGTGGAGGCGGAGTGTGTGGTGAGGGTGATGAGGACGGAGTATGACCACTACTCCAAGTTCGCCCCGACCTTCAACACCCCCAACGTGCAGGAGACACACGCAACTCTCCTGGGTAGGTGTAGGTGCAGCCGTGGGGGTGTAGACAAACTCCTTACCTACTCATACTCTCCTGGGTAGGTGTAGGTGCAGCCGTGGGGGTGTAGACAAACTCCTTATCTTGTGTGATGTAAACATACTCTATTTATCTACCCATACTCTCATAAACATTAATAACATCCACATTACACTCAACATTACCATCCACTAGCAATGTTATCTTATCAATCTTGTTCAGCATATTTATATACTTTATCTAATGCTCTACTTAACTATTTACCACAAGTAACTTACTAGGAATGAATTTATTTATAGTGAATGAAAATATAAAGTGACAATGTTTATATATGACAGACTTTAGAATAAATCTTTTGTTGACAGAGGATTGTGGGGAGGAGGTAGAAGCGGCCCCAGAGGAACAGCTGCCAGCGAAGGAGGTAACACACTGCCTCTATAACACAACATAGACTGAAGAACAAAACACTGCCTCTATAACACAACATAGACTGAAGAACAAAACACTGCCTCTATAACACAACATAGACTGAAGAACAAAACACTGCCTCTATAACACAACATAGACTGAAGAACAAAACACTGCCTCTATAACACAACATAGACTGAAGAACAAAACACTGCCTCTATAACACAACATAGACTGAAGAACAAAACACTGCCTCTACAACACAACATAGACTGAAGAACAAAACACTGCCTCTATAACACAACATAGACTGAAGAACAAAATAATCTTGAATATTGACTTACTGATTAATGAATAGTTATAACAAGAAATATAACGAACGTGTGATTGTTATGAACCTATGATATAATGTTAGAGTTATGTTGTGACGTGAACAGTCTGAGTTATCATCAGGTGTGTAGTGAGGTGTGCAGTCAACATCTCTATACCTGTTCATTACACACCTGTTACTTCTATAGACATCCTTCTCACACATATATACACCGCCTTCTCACCCCACTCCCACACCAGCCCCCTCACACACACCTGACGCCCCCATACATCTGTCTCAATCCCCACAGACACATTTGCCCCCTCCCCACACACACACCTACCTGCCTGTTGCACACCCAGGGTTGCAGGCGGCGGCGGCGGCGGTAAGGCGGAAGGTGACGGCAAGGAAAAGATGGGTAAGTCCCCCCCCACCCCCTTCCCCCAACCTAACCTAACCTAACCTAAGCCGTTTGATGGAGATTTCGCGTCAAATGGATTCTTAATATAGCGGACTTTCATCTCTATATAATTCGTTAGATGGAGGTTTTACATCTAACGGACCATTGATATAACGGATTTTCCTCTCTGTATAGTCCATTAAATAGAGGTGTTTCACTGTACTGTAGGTATAGTCACTACGATTATGATACCGTCACCCTATAGGAATTACAATACCTGTACTATATACCTATACACGTACAGATATATTCTCAAATCCCCAAATTAAATCTACCTTTTATATGTGATGTTCGCCCGGCTGGTACAGGGGCCCCGCCGGTGTTGGTGAAGAAGTATCGGCCACCACACTTCACGGAGACCGGCCCGGGGGAGTTGAACTTACGTCGATACCGGATCCAAGGCGGCGTGTATACCATAGATCTACTGGAGGTGCCGCCCCAACCCCGTGTACTGGCTGACTGTACCATCACCCAGGGTAGGTCTTGTTGTGTTGTAGTAATGATGTTTAGTAAGAGAGTCTGCCCCCATTCCTCCCGCTGTGATGTCTGCCCTATTCTTCCCGGACACGGACACTAGTGGAGGAGGTATGCACGGTGTCTCGGGTACACTGGGTGGCCAACTACAACCCGCCAGCAGCTCCTGAAGCAGCAGGACAACGCCGGCGGGATCCTGAGGCCGTGGAGCAGGAGATGAGACAACTGGAGAAGGAGCTGCAGAAGTTGATACTGATCACCATTAAGTAAGTCCTCACCGCCTACCCTGACCATCGTTCACTCTAACCTAACCTAACCTAACCACCATTCACTCTAACCAAACCTAACCTACCCTGACCATCATTCACTCCAATAAACAAAACAAAATAAATAACAAAATACCAATAAATATAAATGAATCAATAATTATACAAACCCCCAAAAAACAATTAAGTATTATGGTAAATGTTAATTAAGATAAGAGTTAACTGTTATCTTATCCAAGGTTGCCAGATTCAGCCTTCTGGTTTGAGCCGCCACAGATGGTGCTGTGGGACGAGAGGAAGAGATGCTGGTCTAATGAATACTTCCATGATGTTAAATACAACGAAGATCAGTGTGTTATGCAGGTATGTGTCGTGTATGTGTCATGTATGTGTTTGTGGTATGTAGGTATGTGTTTATGTAATGTAGGTACAGTACAGTATCATGTATCTCGGCAGGTGAGGACCACAAGGCTCGGAGTGATGGGTCTCGCTATGAACAGGTTCGCTAATCTCCCCTTCCAGAGCTGGGAGCTGAAGCCGCAGGGAGGTACTGCTGTCTCCCTGACACTTATCGCTGCTGTGGTGGTGGCAGAGTTCACTATCATGGTAACTGTCTCACTATCTTACTACCATGGTTACTCTCTCACTTGTCTCACTATCATGGTAAATGTTTCACAATCATGGTAATTGTCTCACTATCTCACTATCATGGTGACTCACTATCATGGTAACTATATCACTATCATGGTGACTGTCTCTATCATGGTAACTAACTCACTAAAGTAGTTAATTTAATGTTAGGTTTGATTTGGTTAACGTTAGGTTTATGTTAGGTCAACTGCCTAGCTCATACTACAGACGGGGAAGGGTGACCTAATGGAGGTGTATAAACATCTCAGGGGGCACTACTCGGTCGAGTGTCCGCCCCACAAGGGGTCACAGCTCAATATTGAAGAAGTTGCAAGTCCAGAAAACTGTGAGGGTAAACTTTTTCGGAGTGAGAGTTGTGAACTCTTGGAACAATCTACCAGAGAGTGTTGTGACGGCACCGAGTGTGAGCTGTCTCAAGACCAGACTCGACCAACACTGGAGCAGGTTCAGGTACATTCAGGAGCCAGTGACTGCCCAGTACTTGCCAACAGTGCGTGACAGAGACGTGACCGAGCAGCTAACGAACCGATCAGTGGTGAAGAGGATAAAAGTTAAAGGTAAAAGGTTAATATAACAGTGGTTAATCCTAAGGTGAAACAAGCTAGGAGGAGGGAGGACACATTATCAACTCTAATAGGAACTTTTTACACTCAAGTCATATACTGTAGGATGTTGACTCAGACGACACTGTACGTCTCGTTGCAGGAGGAGGGACACGTGTGTTTGGCCAACTTACAAGACGGGGCCAGGACAGCGCTCTCTCACCTCTACGGTAAACCCATGAAGGCTAACGCTCTCATCAAGGTGAACTACGTCATCAGAGTTTACATTGGTTTTAAATATTAGCTGTTTTTATGTTTTATAGTTTACTGTTTTCTTCTGATATAACCTAACCTAACCTAACCTAACCTAACCTTTAACTTCCTGTAAACAACTATCAGATACTATACAAGAGCGAGTACTTTAATCCTCTCTCCACACACCACCACAGTACCCCCCACCAGCAGACAACTGACATGACCTCTCTGTCTCCCTCCGTCAGACTCTACAGTTCTACGGCATCAATCTCTTCCCAGACCGTGATTCTTACTGCTACATTGACGGACTACCTACCAAACACAGGCCTACAGAACAACACCTCTACCGCTGCATGGCTCTCGTGGCTCCTGCCGTCCACTTCGCCTGGAGTCGTTGGAATCTCCTGGCGGGGCTGACGAAGCTAGTGTTTCAGATGAAGACCAAGAAAATCTCACCTGATGATACACAGGTAAAGTGAATGTGTTTTAACAGGTGTGTGTAGTGTCAGGTGTAGAAGTAACAGGTGTGGAGTGACGTGTGAAAAGTGATAGATGCAACAGTAACAGGTGTGTGCCTACTCCTGCAGGTGGGTCAGCCGCTAGTACTGGTGACGCCGCAGAAGACGTGTGTGTTGGAGTGTACAGAGATCTCTCAGGCTTTTTCCAACAACGATGAGGACCCCTCCAAGGTAAGCCATAACAGGATAGACTTAAAATCGCCATAAATAGTAATGAAGGTAGCCATACTATACAAAAATAGCCACAGATGCTCAACAAAATAGCCATTATATAAAAACTAGCCATATATACTAAAAAAATAGCCATAAATTACTAAAATAGCCATAGATACTAAATGATATCTAGTAAAGAATTAGATGACGTGTTGCTGACGTGTTGATAACGTGTTGGTGACGTGTTTACAGTACTACGCCGACCTGTATCAGCTGGTGTTGGATGACCTGGATGAAGGTGTAAGACAGACCGTTCAAGACGCCTCACCCATCTTCATCCACAACATCCAATACATGTTGAAGGCCGCATCTGTTATCTCTTACTGTTGAGCTGCCCTTCTGTTGCTGCTGTTACTGTTATCTGTTACGAGTGTTACAGCACCTCGGAGTCACAGTTTCATCAAGTTTTATTTCAATTAAACATCTAATTATACCTATATTTATTGTCTCTATTTTCATTTAAATGTCGAAACTGAATACATAATGAATACACTAACCTAACCTAACCCAACACTTCACTGAGGCATCACTGTGTCTCAGAATTCAGCCGCCTTAGACCCCAACACTGAACGACCACTCCCGGGGTTATGGCGGTAATAAAGTGGTGTCAAGTTACAGCCGTAGACGTTACATACATAGTACAGTTACACACGCATATACAGGTACAGGAGGGGGCATTATATATAAGTTAAGATGTGAGTATCTTAGTGGATGTGGGAGTCGATTTTTGGTGATTCAAAGCAGTTCCATATCTGACAGAATAAGTGAAATAGTTCAATATCAAAGTGAAACAGATGTAATTTACAGTGATATTGTTTCATATTTCACTGAACCAGACATGCAGTGAGATTCATATTCAACTGAACCAGATATCGATAGACATTTCTTCAAAATTTACTGAACAAGTTTATAATATCACTGAACTAGTCACAGAATTAACTCAGTATTGGAATGAAACAGTCAAACTACACAATTAAATAGACCGGAACAATTTAGTGAACTACTGACACACTAGTTTCATATCTAATTAAAGCGGACAGAGAAATTAAATAATCTCTTTCAACTAGACACAGATTGAATCAGCTACACAAGTAACCGAACATGGCGTGTATAAGCGAGTTACAGAGGGTGACTCACTCCCTCGTAACCCCAGTGTTTCATTATTTAACCGTATTTACTAACCTATTTCCCTATTAATGAGTAATTGGTGTAAACAGGTACTTCTAAAAGGCTTCAATCAGTAGTGTGAGGAGGACTTTACAAAATCGTTCCCTTAAGTACAATGCCTCACCTCGCATTAGGAAGAAACTAACACTGTCAGTCTCTATGGAATGTGAGTGGGACATTCCCCTTCAAGTACGCTGCCTCACCTCGCATTAGGAAGAAACTAACGCTGTCAGTCTCTATGGAATGTGAGTGGGACATTCCCCTTCAAGTACGCTGCCTCACCTCGCATTAGGAAGAAACTAACACTGTCAGTCTCTATGGAATGTGAGTGGGACATTCCCCTTCAAGTACGCTGCCTCACCTCGCATTAGGAAGAAACTAACGCTGTCAGTCTCTATGGAATGTGAGTGGGACATTCCCCTTCAAGTACGCTGCCTCACCTCGCATTAGGAAGAAACTAACGCTGTCAGTCTATATGGAATGTGAGTGGGACATTCCCCTTCAAGTACGCTGCCTCACCTCGCATTAGGAAGAAACTAACGCTGTCAGTCTCTATGGAATGTGAGTGGGAGAGACAGAGGGAAGGAAGAGCTGTGGCCGCCATCACTAACCACAACAAGAAGGGCTACACGTCGCTGGTAATCGATCGCAGACGGTGACAAAAATCAGTGGCAAGAGTTGGTTCTTACTGAAGAGCGGCTCACCGGGGCGTGTTGACACAAGTGGTTCAGGACCTTCATGTGTGTGTGTGTGTGTCTTCTTACAGTGTGCTACCATATCCTCCCTACACCCACACCTTCCTACACTGGACCACCATAACCTCCCCACACTACACCATTCCTTCCCACACCCTGACCTTTTTAGACCGTTTGTGTGATTTCATCCAGTGCGTCAGATAACCCATCATTACTGTTGTATATAACGAAACTGTACTAAGTGTGAAGTGGCATCTCAAGTTCGGAAATCTGTTCGTAGCATCTCAAGTTAGGAAATCTGTTCGTAGCATCTCAAGTTAGGAAATCTTTTAGTGGCATCTTAAGTTAGGAAATCTGTTCGTAGCATCTCAAGTTAGGAAATCTGTTCGTAGCATCTCAAGTTAGGAAATCTATTAATGGCATCTCAAGTTAGGAAAGCCATTAGTGTCCTCTTTTTGTAGAAAATTCTCTTCCAAATTAATTCACACTAGGGAGAGTTTACTGCCCGGCTTACGTCACGCAGTGAGTATGACGTCACACTTGAGGAAGCAGCGTGTGGCAACCATCTTACTCTTAGCACAACATAAGGCTTTAATAATCATTCTGACAACTCTACCTCTAACATGTCCGGATTCTCTGTGGTTCTTGCGATAGTTTTTACCCTTATGGGAAGCTGAGAGTGCAAGTAATTACTCTTCTTCTTATTGCTCTTCTTCTTCCTGTTCTTCTTTGTCTCCTTCTTCTTCTTCTTTCTCCTTTTCTTCTTTGTGTTCTTCCTCTTCTTCTTTGTCTCCTTCTTCTTGTTCTTCTTCTTCTTTGTTCTCTCCTTCTTTGCATTCTTCTTCTTCTCCTTCTTCTTCTTTGTGTTCTTCCTCTCTTTCTTCTTCTTAATCGCCTTCTTCTCCAGTTCCTCTTTCCTTAAGGACAAGAGCACAAGTATAGTCACATCATGAACACAATTCTTACACCACTCTAACAATCTTTTTATTTATTTATTTATATATATATATATTTTTTGTCGTAGCTTAAGTGAGTCAGTTAAAGTGTTCTTACATCACCATTAAAGTGAAGATTTTTAGTTAAGAAGTTTTGAGAATAATGACCAAGATGTGATATTATCTCAAGAACACGTGTTGTTCTCTCTCTCTCTCTCTCTCTCTGTGTGTGTAGCATCCTGGACGAGTGTGAGCTGTACACACTCACTTCCTTGCTCTCTATCTCACTCATTCTCTCACTTTCTCACTCGTTCACTCTCTCACTCAGTCACTCAACATCGTTTCCTTAAAATTGCTAGAATGTATGAACCATGGGACTGGTGAGTCTAAATGGATCCAAACTACAGCTACACATATGAAGATGTTTGGACTAGACCACCTGTACAAAGTTGAGACACAACAGCGCTTCTTGCCACCCTGGCGGACAGTTCCCTTCGATATCACAACACCAACATATCCGCCAAAAAATTAACTATACAAAGTATTTATCTTCAACACACTGCCAAAGTGAAAGCTCTTGAACACATACACACTCTACAGACTGATGATAACATCACACAGACCATCTACACTGATGGATCTCTTAACACCGCCTGTGGGAGGGCTGGAAGTGCTATTGTTGTGACTCAACCTGACGGTAATACAATTGAGAAAGGAGTTAGAATTAACAACTGGGCATCCACTCTACAAATTTAATTAGTTGTCATACTCACAGCCATTATTTTTTTTTGTCATACTCACAGCCATTAATTTGTTGCCATACTCACAGCTATTAAATTTGTTGACACCGCTGCCGCTGACAGTCTCATCATCACTGGCTCTCTCTCCTCACTACTTGCCCTTGACACCCTCAACTTAAGTTGTCACGCGCTTGTCTCTGAAGCCAGACACAAATACTGTATGCGTACCTTGTTGAGCGGGGTGTCAAGATCAAACAGAGTTGATGCCCTCGCCAAACTCGCGTCTAACAAAGACACTGTTGAATACAATCTGGGTCTGTCAAAAAGAACCCTGAAAACTGTAACTAGGAAAGAACTTATTGATGAATTTGATGCAAGCAGACAAATGCAACCAAGATTATCCTGTAGACAATCCATTGTTTACCATGATGCGAGTGACACATGTACTGTATATGGAGCAAGTAACAAGATGTTGTAACCCCTAGACTAAGGTTAGGATATAAGTACCTCTGGCAGTATGTTCCTCAAGCAGATGTAAACAAGACTAAATGTAAAGTGTGTGGCCAGACATATGGCCACACACTCCTGTACTCACGCAGTTGTGAGTAAGTTACCCTTTATGTATAGAACTAAACAAACAATGTATGTAATATTCTGTAACATTCAATGCCATAATATCCTGACCCTTTGTTAACTCTACTCTGTAATCCTTTTGTGCTACCGCTCACAGGATGAGTATGGGGTGCACAATAAACTAGCCGCTGTAGGTGACAAAATAAAAAATTCAATATAATCTTATCCTCACCCACACTCCCTCCCTCCCTCCCTCTCTCTCTCACTCCTACCCGAACAGCGACAACAACAACAACAACAACAACAACAACAACAACACCACCAACAACAACAATAATAATAATAATACTTTAATAAAAATCATAATTAATTTCTTATCTTCACTAACTATTATTCCTCTATTTAATTATTGCCTTATGTCTGTCTGTCTGTCTTGATTTTTCTAATTTCCTGTCTCTTGTTCGTGTGTGTGTGTGTGTGTGTGTGTGTGTGTGTGTGTGTGTGTGTGTGTGTGTGTGTGTGTGTGTGTGTGTGTGTGTGTGTGTGTGTGTGTGTGTGTGTGTGTGTGTGTGTCGTGTTTTCCTTATTTATTTCCATTATATCTAACAAATTCTTTTATTTTCTTCTTAATAATCTTTCCCCTGCAGCTGCATCTTTGGGTATGTTGTCATGTAATGTGGCTTATGTCTGTCTATTTATTTGTTTACTGCTACGACTCTCTCTCTCTCTCTCTCTCTCTCTCTCTCTCTCTCTCTCTCTCTCTCTTCTGTCCTCCTGCCTCTACCTCCCGCCTCACGTGACTCACCTCCTACCAGCCTTGGGAAATTCATGGTCATCTCACCTCTCACCTTCCCTTCAGGAGGCCCGCCCAACCTCTCAACTCAGCCCCTTACCCTTAGTGGCCCGTTAGAGTATGCCCCCCCACCCCACATTACCGCCAAGGTGCCACTGCTCCTCCTAAAGAACCTGCCTACTCATCATGGCCTCCCCAGCTTCTGAATGCCACCTAACTTCTCCAGAGGCACATGGAATCCTTGGCCCTCAGGTACCAATAACTACTCCAGAGGGCCACCCTAATTCTGGCCCTTCCCCAACCTGTGCTCCTAAACCTCACAATGATTTACTCAAAACACACATTCTACTCTCGCCCTTCACTCTCACAGTCACACTCGCCTTCACTCTCACAGTCACACTCGCCCTTCACTCTCACTGTCACACTCGCCTTCACTCTCCTGATCACACTCGCCTGCTCTCACACAGTGCTCCTTCACTCTCCACAGTCACACTCCTTCACTCTCACACAGTCACACTCACCTTCACTCTCACACA